TATGGGAATGGGAAATTTTGACCAATGTCTATATACAAATCTTCGGGTAAGATTTTGACATGAATTTCGACTAAAAATGTTGTCTTCAGATTTGAATGCCAGATTATTCTAGAGGGAAAACCTTGAACAAAAAGCAAAAACTCGTACGAATCGGATGAGATTTGACCGAGTTATGGTAATGGGAAGTTTTGACCCATGTCCTTATACGAATCTTGGGGTAAGATTCTGACATGAATTTCGAGTAAAAATTTTGTCTTCAGATTTTAATGCCAGATTATTCTAGAGGGAAAACCATGAACAAAAAGCAAAAACTCGTAAGAATCGGATGAGATTTGACCGAGTTATGGAAATGGGAAGTTTTGACCAATGTCCTTATACGAGTCTTGGGGTAAGATTCTGACATGAATTTCGACCAAAAATGTTGTATTCCGATTTGAATGCCAGATTATTCTAGAGGGAAAACCATGAACAAAAAGCAAAACCTCGTAAGAACCGGATAAGATTTGACTGAGTTATGGGAATGGGAAATTTTGACCAATGTCTATACACGAATCTTCGGGTAAGATTTTGACATGAATTTCGACTTAAAATTTTGTCTTCAGATTTGAATGCCAGATAATTCTAGAGGGAAAACCATGAACAAAAATCAAAAACTCGTAAGAATCGGATGAGATTTGACCGAGTTATGGGAATGGAAAGTTTTGACCAATGCCCTTATACGAATCTTGCGGTAAGATTCTGACATGAATTTCGAGTAAAAATTTGGTCTTCAGATTTGAATGCCAGATTATTCTAGAGGGAAAACCATGAACAAAGAGCAAAACCTCGTAAGAATCGGATGAGATTTGACCGAGTTAGCTGAATTGAAATTTTCGACCCATGTCTATATGCGAATCTTGGGGTAAGATTTTGACATGAATTTTGACTAAAAATTTTGAATTCAGATTTGAATGCCAGATTATTCTAGAGGGAAAAACATGAACAAAAATCAAAAACTCGTAAGAATCGGATGAGATTTGACCGAGTTATGGGAATGGAAAGTTTTGACCAATGCCCTTATACGAATCTTGCGGTAAGATTCTGACATGAATTTCGAGTAAAAATTTGGTCTTCAGATTTGAATGCCAGATTATTCTAGAGGGAAAACCATGAACAAAGAGCAAAACCTCGTAAGAATCGGATGAGATTTGACCGATTTAGCTGAATTGAAATTTTCGACCCATGTCTATATGCGAATCTTGGGGTAAGATTTTGATATGAATTTTGACTAAAAATTTTGAATTCAGATTTGAATGCCAGATTATTCTAGAGGGAAAAACATGAACAAAAAGCAAAACCTCGTAAGAATCGGATGAGATTTGACTGAGTTATGGGAATGGGAAATTTTGACCAATGTCTATATACAAATCTTCGGGTAAGGTTTTGACATGAATTTCGACTAAAAATGTTGTCTTCAGATTTGAATGCCAGATTATTCTAGAGGGAAAACCATGAACAAAAAGCAAAAACTCGTAATAATCGGATGAGATTTGACCGAATTATGGGGTAGGAAACCTTGACCTATGTCTATATAGGATATATGAGGGTACCATTTTTACATGAAATTTGACCCAGAATAATGTTGCCAGATTAAGATGCCAAATTTATCTGGAGGCCAAACCAAGGAAGACACGGTAAACACATAATGGAGCATATAAGTGTCGGTCGGTTAGTTACGATATAATATGCACAAGTACCCTTCTTACACACCTCACATAGCTTAATACATATAAATATACATACTCACATACGCACATCATTTTCACACAAACATATATACACATATACATACCCTCATGCATACAAATATGTATACATACATATACATATACATATATATATATGTATGTTTGTGTGTAAAAGTATGTATGTGAGTGTATTTATATATATATATTATATATATATATATTAATGTATGTGTGTATGCATGTATGTGTGTAAGTATGTGTATATATGTACATACGTTTGTATGTATGTTCGTGAATGTATATGTGCATATTTTTGTATGTTTGTGAGTATTATGTGTATATGTATATGTGTATATTTTTGTATGTTTGTGAGTATTAACGCATGTGTGTATGCATATGTCAATGTATGTATGTGCGCATGTGTACGTATGTGGGTATATATATTTGCGTATGAATGTGCCTATAAATGTATGTGTGTGTATGTATGTGGGTAAATAGATATTAAAAAAACTAATCTTAATTAGTTCCCTACTACGCGATTCTCATAAATTTAAGTAAGTATCATTGGCTTCACATCAAGTGGAGAAGGCAGCGGCCTTAGGAGGAGGCACCTTTAACTATGGAGGAAGCGGCAGCTTCAGCAATGGAGGAGGCGGCGGCTTAAATATCGGAGGTTGTGGCGGCTTTAACTATGGAGGAAACGGCAGCTTCAGCATTGGAGGAGGCGGCAACTTACGCAAAAGAGGAGGCGGATTTGGAGAAAACCGTAGCTTCAGCAATGGAAAAGGTAGCTTGAACAATGAAGGAGGCGGATTCCACTATATACGAGGCAGTGGCTATGGCTTTGGCGGAAAAGCCGACATACATTTTTAATGTGGCCATTGAAAAAACTGGTACGTATTTTAATCATAACTATGTCTTCATCATTGAAAATAAAAGTAACAACTATTTCAATTTATTTATAAATATTGCTCTACTAGGCGATTCTCACTAATTCAAATAAAGCTAGCTAGCTACGATTTTAAGTTAATAAACACTATCTCGACTTTTCTGTTCTTTCAGTGATGTGATATAATAGTTCGTCTCCCGCCTGCAGATAGATGACAACAAAACAATTGTACGTGTAATTCACACTCATACAGGTGAGTACATAATTATAAATATCGTACCTATTCCCATCCCATCCCGTTCAAATTTGATTTTGGGTTTATATATGTATTAATTCATTTTATCCGTATCATAATTACAAGTGACTTTACAATGTCAACATATGGGTGTTAAGCACACTGAGCACTTATTGTGAGATATTCATTTGCTGGTAGTCATTGAAATGAGATGAAAATAGAAAATCTTCGGCGCGTCGAAAATTGAATACCCTTGAAGACATTTGCTTTACGATTTTGCAGATATGTGTGAATAGTGAAGCTCGTAATTGCTGAGTTTGATAAAAATATCTTGGAAAACACCGATTCTTCACATAGAGCTATAAAATATCTACTGCAATCTTTATAAGATTTAGCTTATAAGATCGGTATATCGATAAGAGATCTTGATAATCAAAAAAATGTTTACATCAACGTAGTCTTCGATCGATCGTTCCTATGGCAGCCATATGATATAGTTGTCTGATGTTGATAGTGTTTTCATATATGTAAAAAGCATAGTGAAACTAACAAATGCCGAGTTTGGCAGATATCACAGATATCTTGATAACTCAAAAAGTTGTTCATACAAAAACCAGACAAACAGACATGGCTATGTTAACTCGTCTGTTGACATATAATATAATAGAGAATACCCTTTACAAGGATATAAGTATCATAATATTTAAGTTGTTTGAAATAAGTGAATTCCTGTTTGGAACTTTGCCCCAAATGTGCAGTGATGTGCACTGTTGTACTTGTACAATTAGGAGAGAAGCGCACATGCTGTTTTCATAGACATTAAATTACAAATGAATTCCAGGCACGTGATCTTTTGCTTGACTGCGTGCGTTGGCCACCAGCAAATGCAGTAATGGGCATTGGCTTGTAGCCCTTTCCTTGAGACTCGGATAATGTTGGTCTTTTGGGAGCATTATCAAAAAAATGACTGTATTAATTATTTTCCTTTCGTTTTCTTTCCTTTCTTAACATCTCTATAAAGTTCTTTTAGTTTTTGGATGCAGGGTTACAATATTGTGCACTTTAACTGCAAATCATATTCGCAGGCTTTCTCCATTTGATACGCATTCTTAGAATATGAATATTTAAAGTATATGTATACATAATAAAAATCATATTAACAATCGCACATAAATCATACTAACTGAAAAGCTATATAAAGTTGAGAAGGAGCTGCTCGTTAGTCAAGGCGACCTCCGTTTGGTGTGACCATCTGACTAAATTAGATTTGAATTTTTAAATTTTATGACAGTTTATGGTCTTAACAGATTCTCCACCTCAAGTTGAATAGCCGTGGGTATTAATTTGTATATTTATGCATACTTAGTAACAACTTTGAAATTTCGACATCAATTTCCGCCGTGGAAAGTTGAAACCTACCCTTATCAACTTGACCATATAAAGTTATACCAAATTTAAAGTTATATTTTATATTAGCGGGCATTTCTCGACTTTCCGAGTGAAATATTTTTGTGCTAAAACAGTTTTATGTATATATGTTAACTCATCCATAAATAAATTTAATAATACTGTGATAAGATAACGTTGTCGCTTAGTTAAGCTCAACTCTTTTTATAATAATAAGCCTAGGATGGGCTTAATATATAATTCATGAATTAATATAATATTATAATTAATGAGTTAACTTCAATTTAAACGACATTGAGACTACAGGCTAACATCAAATGCTCAACTGTAATGAAAGAGCATAAGCGATTAACTATGTATACAGCTATATAGAAACTGCGTATCTTTACATAATAGTGGACTCTGGAACCCATGCAATGTATCAGTTAGTGATGTAATATATTACTGATAATGTTGGCCTCATAATTTCTTGCACAAAACTTAGAAAAAAAAACATTTTATTGTTGGCAAATAAATTCATGATATTTTGCTTTGAATTGCAACAAAGACTTCATCCTAAAACAGGAAGCATAGCAGCTGCAATTGTGGGGTTTATTTTTGGAACATGCGCAGCTTTATGATAAAAGTCTTTGGTGCGAGAGCGAGATAGATGAAAAGAGAATGGCACTTGGTTGAGAGCATAACATCCTTCAGGATACTATGCAGGGCCTTTTGCAGCTTTTCGCATATTTTGCTATTCAGTTTAAAAGAGACGCGCAACGAAAGCAGTTCAGAAAAATTCCCAGAACAAATTCTTCTTCTTTTGCGCTCAGCCTCATCCCCAGTCAGCGCCATAGCCAATTGACCACCTTAGTGTGAGTGGTGGAGGAGAGTTTTGTGTGTGTATAACGGTTAGTTTAATAATTGTGTGTTCAATTTAGTGCTACGCAGTTATCCATTTTTACACCCGACTCAAAGGATATATAAGAAATCTAAGAGATCAAATATTTTAATTTTAACGCAGATATATTTCTGTGTATTGTTCCTGATTTTTCACAATTTTAGTGTCAGTGTCTGGTTTAACAAATATACAGCGCGTATTGCGTCACTCTTTACTTAGTTGAGCAATACTAAGGACATTGCTTGCGGAGGGTAAGCAAAAAGAATTTTCATTTAGCTTTCAGATGCTTTAGATTCTGTATGCTGATGTGTGTATATTTGCTTTTTAGTAATATAAATCAAATTTTTTTTGGCTGTCCACACATTTTACATACTATGTACATACATACGACACAATGTTCTCAATTCAAAATATGCCTCCCTTATCAGAACAGGCTTCATATATATTTAATTTAAGGACTCTGGTAGGAGTATTGATAGTAACCCGTTTTATAAAAAAAAACTATTAAAAATGATTAAATTGACCCAGTCAGAATGGCAAGTGCACAGCATTGTCCAGGCTACGAATCCGAGGCTCCATTATGGATGCGGTTAAGTCTACGTTACAAATAAAAAATAAGTCTAATAAAAATAATAAATTAATTATGAAAAGGGATACATGCAAAAAATACTATCAGATATGAAGAACGGACGAAAAATATTATATTTAATTAAATTAAAAAAATTTGGTTACTGAAACATTGTTGTTAAAAAGAAGGATCTAAAACGTTTTTGGTCTTTGCCCTTAAGCTAACTTAATCGTACGTCATTTTTCCACATTAATTTATTTACGGCTTAAAATTGTAGGCAATCAACACGCACAATGAGTCATAATTGCAAAGGGTTCTGGGTGGCAGCGATCTTAACATGGTCAGCTTTGATGTCTAATTTAGTGTTTGGAACTACAGAGGGGCAGGAGACGCCACTGGCTCTGCCCGTGGCCGAGCTGACTCAACCCACAACAGCTATACAGGGGGAGGTTTGGGAAGAGGATGATCACGAGGTATTAATACGCAACGAACGCGGGACAAAGAGCGATGGTGAGCTCAGTTTGTTATAAGGAATTAAATTGTTTCTAATAATATTAAAATTTTCTTAACAGGCCTCTCATGTCGTTATGGCAAAAATCCATGGACTGAATGTGATACTAAAACTAATACACGTTCTCGAACTTTGACATTGAAAAAGGGGGACCCAGCTTGCGATCAAACTCGCACCATTCAGAAAAAGTGCAAAAAGGGTAAGAATGATACATTTGTGATATAAATCTAATAAACTAAGAAAATGGGATAATATAAAACCAAACTATGCAATTTTCTTGAAATGAATTTCAGCGTGTCGATATGAGAAGGGATCTTGGTCTGAATGTACCACAGGACAGATGACCAGAGCTGATAAATTAAAGGCCACCAGCGATCCTTCATGCGAAGCAACACGTTTAATTAAGAAGAACTGCAAGCCCGGCAAGTCCAAGGATAAGAGTGCCAAGGAGCAGCGCAAAAATAAGGATAAAGGTTAGTAATCGAATTTTTAGATGTGAACACATACTTACAATATACACAAGCTAATTGCATATTTAATGTTATAAGATAATATTTATTTTCATTATAAAAAGAGAACAATATATCTTAACTATTTTCTGGGTATCTTATCTTACCTGCAGCTGCTCGCAAAGGACGTGTTTAAGTAATCTGGTAACAAACACTCATTTTTTTAAAGTCAGATGTTAGATTTTTCCCTGGAGCTCGTTTTTCAAAAATATAAGAACACTAAATAAAATCGTAATAAATAAACCCACTTAATGGATAACCGTAAAAATTATATTTGAATACATTTAAAAAATTGTAGATTTGATTTTAAACAATTTATATAAAATAACGGAATTAACTAAAATCTACTACTAAAGAAAAAGTTTGCAAGAATTTGCGATTGATATGTGAAACCATACCATACCATTAAGTTTATCCAAGTTTCTCCAAACGCAAGAAAACAATACGACTGATCCGGCAGATAGGAATCTTATAGCCCGGAAGATTGTCTGACAATTCATATAAAGCATTAGCCAAGTTATTCGAAAAATAACTTTACACCAACATTAATACATATATACCTTCCCATATTTAAACAAAAGTTATTCAAACATAATTGATGTAAAACGTTCGTCTGAAAATATCAGCTTCTGTATTTGATCTCAATAAAAGAGAACAGAAAAAACAGCGGCACATATAATTGATATAAGTAATACATATATACAATTTAGACATACAATAAATGCAACATTTAATAAAACACTTAGTGTAAATATTGTAAAAAGTAATACAATAGTATTGCAAAGTAACAAAGAGACAATGGCCGATTGGTAATCGCAAGGGCATTGCTAATGCGATTGCGTATTTTAAACAAAACTAACATAAAACCCCCGAAAATGTATCTTTGTATGACTAAACAGTATTGATCATACTTTTAAACTACATACAAGTATCTCCCACTCAAACAGGATTTATTTTTGTTCTTTTTTGTCAAGCGAAAAAAAAAATTCAATTTGAATTATAAAAAGTGAGAAAAATATAATTTTCCGAAATAAATTGTGCAGAACGGTAAACCCTTCCCGCAGAAATAGTCGTTTTAGTTGTAGCTGATAATTATAATAGTTGTATTTCAAAATGAATTTAATATCTGATTCTATTTTAAACAAAGCACATTATTTTAAAATAATAGAGTTATTTATGTATTAAAAAAAAATATGCAACCATAAGCATTATAATACAAACGAAAACTGTATAATCCATTATAGCTTACATATAAATATGTGTGGATTCATATAATTATGTAAAAACACGCATATGTATATGTAAGTGTTGGAAAACAAATTTATATGAATATTTAATGTCAAACGTATTTAACTGAAATTATTTTTATTCTATCGGGAAGCCTTGAAAACTCAATGACACGACAAGTAAATCAGAAATTATATACATAAAATATAGTCATTTGCATTCATACGTATTTACATACATACATTAAGAATACCATGAAAGAGAAAATTAAACAAAAAAAAACTGCAATTTCATAAAATATTATAAATAAAAACTTGACAAGGATTTAAATAAAAACATAATCTATAAGAGTTTATCTAGGATATTCTGCTGTTTTTTCGGTCAACTTGCATTTACACAATACCATTATACCCTTTTTACCCATGTTCAATGGGTTCAGGATATAAAAAGATATATTAATTAAAATTATTCATTCTAATTGGATGTTAATGGTTGTTTGGTAAAATCAAATTTAATGGAAGTAAAGTACTCGTAAGTTCATAAGAGACTGTACTTAATTGTGGTTCTGCTGGAAAACTGTATACGGTTCCAGATGCGGTAACGTTAGCGAGATGGGTAATACATTTCTGGATTAAGCAAACTAATGTAACTTTTTAAACTTACAGCCCAAATTCAAGGCCCCAGGGCTTGCAATTGACTTTTGTCAAACCAATTACGTGCACAATTGTAAGTATCCTATGCGAAAATTGTTTATGCATTTTAAAGAATGTCATCGAGAAGTAATGTTTACATAAAGATATGAGCATGTATGTATCTACGTATGAAATTTTGCTTGGACAAGCAAAAGGCTCGTATTTGGATAGCTGTAGGCTAGGGCTTTTATACAGTTGTTAATAAGAGAAGGCACATTCAACAACCATATTATCAGAGAGTTCAGAGGAGCTATATCCGTTTGAGAGTGAAAAGCACGCAAATAGGGTTTTTGCCATCACGTGTAGGCTGTAAAAGTATGTGGCGGCTGTACATTTATGTACATATATATACATATGTATGTATATACATACAGAAATAATTCTTTCATTGAAATTCCCGTTGCTCGTGTACAAAGTAATTCGAAGAACTGGCAATTTAATACTTGACATTTGTAGCTGCTAGAACTGGGATATGGGACTGAACTGGTTAATATACATACATACATATGTATGTCCATATTTGAATTCAATATGCATGTGTATGTATGTATGTACATTTGAATAAAGACTGACTAAACAGCAAAGCTTTCACAAAAACAATATTATTTACTTGAAGAAGATTTTAAATAATTAGCCTGCAGGAAAGAGAAGATATTATATTCAGTCATGTGAAGAGTATACAAAATATGAATGCGACATTTTTACATACATATCTTTAACTTAAACATCGCCTTTTTTGACTTATGAATGAAGAAAATGAGCTATATGTACAAATCAATGCATAAATGTAGATATATGTACATATAGTCACCCCTGACTGCGTGTCGTATCAAGTTTCAGTCGATTGTGCGCCTGCAAAAATGTACATGCATATGTATGTATGTACATACATATGTACTGCGTTTGCCCGACATCGACAAGTATCTATGTACGTATATACAGATGCATGTATGTTTAGCGCTGTCATTAAGATCTGATTTTTGCACATCAGCTACGTCATCAACAATGACGGAAGCAATCATTAATGGACATGCAAGATGTGCAATTGTCAGAAAATATTGGAATACATACATATGTACATACATATGTTTTTGTGTATGTACAGATGTTGGTATATATGACAGAAATTCATACATAACTATGTATATTTAATAATCTAAGTATATATATGTATGTATATGTATACGAATAAGCGACTAACAATAACGTCAACACCAATAAATCCTGAAAATCCGGGAAAACGGTTAACATTGGCACCTAGCAACACATTGAGATACCATTTCTCACCAAATGAGCAGGATAAAACTGTGAGAACAAGATAGAGAAAGAGAAAAAGAGAGAGAGAGAGAGAGCGGGAGAGAGAGCGGAGGAGAATGAGAAAGAGAGAGAGAGTGAGTCAGAAATATTGAGACCGCAAGCGTAGAGAGAGAGAGAGAGAGAGAAAGATAGAGAGGAAAAGACAGAAAACGCAAGCGCGGAGAGAGAAAAATTCAAAGATATTTTTAGAAAAAAAGTGGAAGGTGAATGCTCATATGCAGAAAAAAGTCAGCATACTTCAAATTGTATTTAAAGCCAAATCCAAGTTGTTTACCGTTTTTGCTAGAGAATTCTGCTGTCTCGGCTGTCTAAAAACCTGCAGCCTTCCGGGCTCTCCGGCGACTGGACAACCACAAATATATTTACAAACAGACACACATAACTGCAATACAAACAGACCAATGCCATACACATATGTATGTATATTAAAAGTATAAACTAAGAAAGTAAACAAAGAAGCAAAAGAAGAAAATACATATACATACATACATACATAAGTATAAATATATTTTTCAACAACGTCGTTTGCCGTACAATCTCAGGCTTCTTACTCGAGCATGCGATACATGTATGTTGTACATATGTATAATGTATCTGCATATGTCTGTACATATAAACATATTCACTATACCAACATCAACAAAATGTTTTGTTTGTTTTTTTTTTCATTTTATTTCCCTTGCCTGGCTGGATATTTGATGTTAGGCTTTTCTCCTGTCTGCTTGAATCAATTTTTGGTTTCTCATCAAAGCAATGTCTACTGTGCTCTCTGCTGGCAAAGTTGAATTTGACTTGATTCTGACACACTCAATCTAAAAATCCACTCAAAACTCGTTTCCTATCGCATGGAATGGAGAGTATAACACACATTATTAAAAAAATGTATGTATATGAGTAAAATTGTTGTGGATCTGGATATGTTTGATAAAACAGTATTTGGATTGCAAGTACCCATTTTCTTACTCCTTGCGTACATAAATATTTAAATTAATTAAACACTGGGTGTCTAGAAAAAATTAAAATAATTATTAAAATAAAATTTTAATAATCAAATAATTTTTTAAAAAAAATTTAAACAAAGTTTTCGCAATTGTCCCCTGGTGATCTGGAATGTATGAAATCTATAAGCGTTATCATAGATGTTAATTGTTACAGTGGATAAAGATAATGGAATATACGTAGTACATATGTATAAATGAGTAGTGCTGTAAATTATATTATATATAAATATTAATAAACTCATTCGGTCTTATCTGAAAATAAATGCATTTACTCTCCATCAATCATATGACAAAAACAGCCTGATGCTTGTGCCACTTGTCACAGCAGTAGCTGCTAGAACGTTGCAACGCAATAACAAAAATGTCATTGGTTATCGATAAGAGTTAATGTCATATATATTTAGACAGGTATAAACTAATAGATACCGATCCCAAAGAGTGGTGATAAAAGAGAATAAGTCACCTTAAACTCCGTTGAAATTCCGCTCAGTGTATTGAGTGTGTGGCAAGCTGAGTTATTTTGTTACGTCTCGTATTTCAAGTGTTGCTTGTTACTTGCAGCGTCGCCAGCCGCAGCATATGCCAGCTTCACTCAGTTCTCGCCCAGCTCTGGAGAGCGTCGATCGGCCACGGCAACGCGTACTTAGGTGAAAATTATTTTCAAAGCTTTTGCTAATTGAGATTTTAAACATAGCTCTGACGGAATTGCAACAGAGCAGTAACCCCAGGTGAAAGAGAACCTTTTGAGTGAGTCTCTCCCGTGTTTTTGTAAATGGTGCGCGGTAATATCCGAAGAATTCTTTACCTCAATTATTACAAATTCCAGCACTCAGTGACGGGGATCAAGTTCCAAACAATATTTGCTAAAAACTTCTCCTGATTCTTAAAACTAACTTACTTGATCACGCTTAAAAGAATCAAGCAAAAAAAAAATCGAAAGAGAAAGGTAATTTGAAATATGTTTAATTTATTTACAATTTTTTAATTCATACAGTTTTAAATAGTTTTTGCGATTTACTTAGTTGCTACATATTTTACACTGTGGTGGTTACTTAAACTCAAACATATTACATATGTCACAGACATGCGAGATATGTATATACAAATAAATGATGATTTATAAATAAAAAAATAAAATGTAGTGCTGCAGAAATTTCAATTAAGACTACCCCCTAATTTATAGGTTTGCAGTTTGTCTTAATTTTCTTAACCTTTATCGCAAAATGTCAACTTTATGCGAAAGTTTAAAAGTTAAACAGAATGCTTATCTTACTTAGGAAATTTGTCGGTATATACATAATATGTGGATATCATTTTTTATTTGTATGACGACCAACATCCTGGTTCAAATAACAGTGAGCTATGGAGTTAATGCAAATGCTCTGCTTTTCTTCTTCATTTTATATGAGGTTTCGTATACCACACGCAGATTAAGATTGTTTATATTTATTAATCAATGCAAGCATTATTTCTTTGATCTATATTCAACCTAGATTTTGGACCGTTTCTCGGAAAATATAAGAGCCAGAAAATTTTTTTTTGTGGTATATGTGTCGAGTACCTTTTTTAGATCACTCTTAAGGGAGGCCGGCCCCTGACTTAAAAGCAGAAACAACAATAAAAGGGCAGCGTAACAGCAAAGTGGGTCAGGACTGAAGCGAGGCGTAAAAGTATATACATACATATATAGTCGCTAAAGAATAAGCATAGGATGAATGTACAGTAACACATTAATATGCCAAGATATGGAAAAATAGCAGCGTTGCTTTTATCCATCCTCAGTTTCAATTGTTAATTGACAATCTATTCGAATTTTTACTTATCTGTATTTATTTATTATAATATATTTTTTTAAGTATCCAAAAGTGAAGTGCTAGATAGGCCAAAGAACAAAATGTCGATATCAGTTTTTATTGATTTCGGGAAAAAGTTAAGTTATCGTTAATTGGAAATAAACTTGATCTTTTCTAGCACTAGGAAGAACTAATTTTTAAACTTCAAGTTTCTAGGTTATCCTATCCTTCCTACCTATTTGCGGGGTATAAAAAAGGTAAAAGTACTCGCTGTGGAACCCTTCCCAGTCAACTGTATTTTTTCTGCATTCGCTTTCATCCCGTTTCATGTCTTGTTTACTCTGAACTTTAAACAAGCGTCAATTGCTTAACTACAACTGCCCGTGCAAATAGTTCGTACACATAAAAATGTATCCGTTCAGAGACTGAAGTCAATTGGTCTCAAAAATTATACACATGTCTCCAGACAAGGCAAATACAGTTGCATTCCTTTAAATAAATTATATTATAAAATTGCTGCTGCAGCTGCTACCAGTGGCCGTTCTTGGATCGCTGATCTTATATATGCATATACAGCTTACAACAAAATTTACATCAGACAACTTATTCATAAATTATTTTACTGATTGCCTTAAAAATGAGCGAGAGGAATGCCGGGTCCGCTTCACATGTTCACCAGATGTGCAACATCTACAATGAAATTGTTTAAAACTAAATTTTGGAATGCGTTCTGAAGGCAGACGGTTCCTGAATAATCTGAATGTTATATAAAAATAAAATACTTGAATACGATGGTAGAACATAAAAAATGACTTAAATTTTGGGAACCATAAGCTTCATTTTTTAAAGCTGTTCTCAACTACAAGTGCGTGTTATGAACCTTGCTCCCTTATTCAGCAGTTGTTTATGACTAAGCTAAAGTTTTCAACTTTGTTGACTAGTTGCAAGTACATATAGTTGAAATGTTTTTTGGTGGTTCTATGCGGCGCCAATTGTGTCCCTTGGTTGGCTTTTTAGTTGCTTTGTTTGTTTTAAGTTGGATTTTTGAAACTTTTTAGAGTACGTAGTTAATGTAGTTGTTTAAGAATCTGCGTTTCAAGCCACTCAATTTTTTTAAAGTCGCATTTACTTAATTACTTTTACCTATAAGGCAAAATATATTTAATTTTCTCGACCCTAGTATAATTTAATTTTTTTTTTTTCCTTTTAATCAAAATATATTTAATTTTCTCGACCCTAGTGTAATTTAATTGTTTTAGTGTTTAAGCAATTCATGCAAAATAGGTTGTTTGAAATTTTGCCTCTCAATTTTTTTTAGGCACCCAATTTAAGTTTACTAAATTTAATAATTTGCATATTATGTTCTTTTATTATTATGTCCGATTTTCGCAGGGAGCCAGAGGACATAGCTGGCCACCTGAAATGATTCTTTTAAAAACCGTGTCCATACAAGTCATGATCCATTTCTGGTTAACGACAGTGCTGCTGATGCCAACGTTGATTTATAGTCATGGGCATCATGGCAGCGGGAAAAACAGTGCCATGGCTTTGACTGAGCTCGCTAGGGGTGCGAAACTGGTTATGGAAAATCACTCTGGTGACGTGATAGTGCGTCCAGCACGTGAAGCTGAAACGGACAAGTTGGCTACATTGCCTGTAACTGCTACAGTTGGTGGTATTAGCGGTGGAAATAAACGTGCAAGAAACAACAAAAAAGCGAACAAGCCGCACAATCAGATGCAGCGCGCAGATGCAGCAGGTTCTCGCAAGCCAAGCTTAAAGAAATCATCTTTACACACAGGTAAGGATGTACTGTCGGTGCAGCCGCGACATTTGCAAAAGCCTAAGAATGAGGAACATCAGCATCGTGCAGGCAAAAGATCGGGAGCAAGAACAAAGGCGACACAAAATGGTAAGCTAAAAAAAGCTCAGCCCCAAATATTTGATTATGTTCATTTTTAATTCTTTGGTTTAATTCACCTGTTTGAGTAGGCAAATAAGAGGGCTTTAAATTTAAAACTATTTTAAAAACCTTTGAACATAAAAAACAAAAATGGTAATTCATAAACTTTACGAAACAAAACTATAAAATGGCCGATTTGGTCATATGCATATTCTTGTATATTATTGTTAAAAATACGATTGTATAGCCAAGTCAACTACGTTCTTCAGGTTTTACCCCAACGTTTTTTAACTGGTCACATACATTTATATTAATAATTAAAATAAATAATATAGCTTAATAAATATATTGTCTTTCACACAGCACCAACTTGTCGTTATGCAAAGAGTTCATGGACGGACTGTGATGTTAAAACTAACATGCGCACACGTACTCTATCTTTGAAAAGGGGCGAGTCCCACTGTCTACCCACTCGGACCATACAGAAAAAGTGCAAAAAAGGTTAGTAAAACCAAAAGTTAGTCAACAGCGATTGAAATAAAAGTCAATCTATGGCCCATGGTAGATAATGATGGCAGCAAAGGAATCTATTTCATATATTGATTTGTCACATTTTCGTTTTTTTTAGCTTGCCGGTATGAAAAGGGACCCTGGTCAGAATGTATAGATGGACAAATGACACGTGAGGAGAAATTAAAGGCATCTGAAGATGACACTCAACAGAGCTGCAACCTCGTTCGCATCAATAACAAAAAGTGCAATCCTAGTGCTATAGACAAAAATACAGCAGGCGGCGTTCGCTCTACCAAGGTGCGTAAGCACAAGGAGAAAGGTAACTACTGCGGCTACAATACAAAGTCTTTACTAATCTTTGAGAAATCGCAGGTACCCGCCAGACACCGTCTCCAGTTTAATCGGTGAAATGGGTAAGGTATATAAAAAAACAACAATGTATTTAGCAACAGCACAAAATATTTGTAGCGTTAAGTATAAAAATGGTTAATTTAAAGTTCGGCCCGCGTTTAGCAGGCATATTATATATTTTATATATACTTTAAAACTGTTTTAAACGTTTTTTTTTCAATATTTGGGTCTTAAAAATATTTGTCATTTTGTATATTGTTTCTATATTCTTTATGGATTAAAATCTTTTAAAATGTACTCATACTCTTGCGTGGCAATAAATAAGCAATGGATGATGATAATGAGTTAAAATGTAAAACAGTAAAAATCAAAATGTAATAAGCCTAATAATTTATTCTAACGTCGCTCAGAATTTGAGTATCTGTTACTGTTGGAAAAACCAGAACTACCACCAAACGAACCACCGCTATAGCTTCTTTGGGCGATGCTGCTACTGAATCCCTGTGCGATGTTGAAACTATTCCGGGCCGTGCTCGATGGATCAAAGCGATTGCCAGATTCGCTAAACGCGTTAAAGCCACTTAAAGATCCTCGGTAGGAAGTAGATCTTCCGGTTGATCCATTGCCACCGTTCATGACGTTGCCGCCTCCGACATAATTTCTAATGGATCCTCGGCCACCACGACTGCGTCCACTGCCACCGCCCGTATCGCGTGCTATGTATTCTAATTCTGGATTTACATTCTGATTTGCCTCCCGCAGAATCTCAATCAAAGCGCGTGCGCATTTGGCATTTTTTCGTGTAAAGAACGCATACGATGTTCCTGTAGAATGCTTCCGTCCAGTGCGCCCAATTCGATGTATGTAGTCTTCTGATGACTGTGGAAAATCAAAGTTGATGACATACTTAATGCCATCGACGTCAAGGCCACGTGCTGCCACATCGGTTGCCACTAATATATTAGCACGGCCACTACGAAAATCATTAAGCACACTGTCACGATCCATCTGGGATTTGTCGCCATGTATGGAACCCACACCAACACCAAAAGCATTTATGAACCGTGCCAGTTCATCCACCTTTTTCTTAGTGGCTACAAATATGATAATCTTTCCGGGCATAGCGGCCTGGTCATAAATGTGTGATAACAGATCTTTTAATTTTGCGCCTTTCTCATGCTCAGCGCAAACTTCTACATACTGCCGAATGTTGTGGTTGGCTGACAGTTCCAATGAGCCGATGTTTATCTTTGTAAAATGTCCAGATATAAGCTACATTAAAAATCACCACAAAATCAAACTTACCTGTATGTAGTTGCCAAGGAAGTCTTCTGCTAGCTGACGTACTTCTTTTGGCCAAGTTGCGCTCCACATAAGTATTTGACGGTCTGGCCTGATTTGGCCAAGTATTTTACGTATCTGCGGCTCAAAGCCCATGTCCAGCATACGGTCAGCCTCATCCAGTACAAGGTATGTGCAACGACGCAGATTGGTTGTACCGCCTTGTAGAAAATCAAGCAAACGGCCAGGTGTGGCAATCACGATTTCGACGCCGCGTTGCAAGTCACTTGCTTGCTTAGAACGCGGTGCTCCGCCAAAAATACATGTATTGCGCACAGAGGAGCTGGAGCCAAAATCTTTGGCCACCGACTGAATTTGCTGAGCCAGTTCGCGCGTAGGCGCTAGTACAAGTGCTATGGGACCATCACCACGCTTTAATGGCTCTTGCCCTCTGATGTGCACTATGGCAGGTAGTATAAAAGCAAGCGTCTTGCCTGAACCTGTCTTAGCTATGCCAACCAAGTTGTTGCCTGACATAACTATTGGCCACGATTGGGCTTGTATTGGTGTGGGTTCTATGTAGCGCTGACGCCGTATTTCATTCATGCAATATTCTGGAAAGCATGCTTCATCAAAACACTGAATTGGGTTGGGTGCCAGACCCCGTACGGTGATTTGATGCTGGGCACGGTAGCAATCAACTTCCTGTGATGAACGATTGCGAGTTTTTGGATGTTCCTGGTAAAAGCTTTTCTGAAATGGCTGTAGTCGCATGTCCGACCAGTTAATATTGTGCAAGCCTAAGCGAATAATTATTAGTTGATATATGATACAAATAATGCTACATACTGCCAAAATCATCGTTTACAGCACCAGCACCTCGGTTCAGACCGCCACTACGACGCGGACGGCTTTCGATGCGTCCAGAACGTACTGAAATATTGTTTTCAAAGAATTATAAAAATATTTGTGTTTTTTGGATTTTAAATATGTACCTCTACCATTACCATGTACGCCGAAACCAGAACGTACTGCAATATTTGTTTCAAAGCATTTAGTAAACGAAAGCCATTTTTAAACATTTGGGAATATTATACATACCGCCACCACCTCCTCCGAGGCTACTGTGTCGCGGTGGCGCCATGGCTCACTTTATTTACAACACGAAACCGGTACAAAAATACCAATAATGATTTTGGGCTTCTACTCTCGTTGTCCTCTTTAACTTCCGTACGTTTAATTGGTTGGTTTAACTGTTTTTGCAAATTTAAACAAAAGTTAAAATAGTTATGAGGTTAAGGGATTTAAATAATATTTGTTCAGTATATTTATATAAATTTGCAAAATGATGTGTCCTTTGTCGGATTGCTTTACATTTTCTAAACTTGCTTCTTCTTTCGATATTTTGACTTACTAGTGCCATCATAATTTGACGATCTGGTAGCACTCATTGTGTAGAGAAGATGGCAACGCATACGTTTATGTTTCGGTATCTATCTGGCAGCTCAGCCCCATGAAAATTGTGAGAGCCCACCTAAAATTTGCTTACCAATTCTTGTTTGGCTTGAAAACCCATTTCTTTTCTTAGCTGAATAACTTTTTACTATGGATTACCTTTTTTTTTTTTAGTTATGGCTCTCGTTTTACGACTTTCATCTACTTTTCTATATGTTGCATATTTTTCTTACTAACAGAAACAGAAAGATATATGTACATATTTACATACATAGATACATAAATAAAAATAGATATGTATTTATTATAAATAAATATATTAAATCTAACCTATTTTGCTTATACATAATTATTTAACTAGTGCTATTTTATTTACTACGTTTCTAATTTGATTATGTTTTTTTTAAGTGGAAAAATGTTGTATGGCTTCAAAAATGTCTCAGCAAGCATACTTTAACTTTCATTGAGTGGTGACAATTTAAGAAAAACAACAAAACTAAAAAAAATTCCTCGGCTGATTTAAACAAAAATGTCAAATTTTTCAGTGGCCATTTCGTAAATTGGAAAATCAAAATAATTCATTTATTTGAATCTGCAGACATAGTACGTTGCAATTTGCAAATGACTCCAATCGCAATAGGGCGAATGCTGTACGGGGGCTCACGCTTCAGCCGCAAGCTCATAAATACTTCTCGTGCGCTCACATCAGGCTTATGGCACACCATGATTAATAGTGTCATGCTACAGACACAGGCGGGAATTAAGTGCAAAGAAAAGAGGGCGTATATGCCACCCTGCAATCTATATTCAAACTGTTTAGAATCCCCGCATCTTGTGTATTTGATACACCGTCGCTACTCAACATGTGAGAAAACATCAACGCAGATACTGTCTAAATTATTCCCGCAGACATCAATGGAGCTAGACGATGAGGCGAGTCGTGATCGCCGTAAGCGTGAGGAAGAGGAAGAACTTAGGGAAATGGAGCGGGCCTGGAAGCGTATGAAAATAGGGTTTGGGGTCTTTGGTGTGGGAGGTGTGATATTCTCTTTTTGGGCTATTTACTTCTTTGGTAAGCCGTCGCTTGATGAACAAGGAAACGAAGTTACGGACGAGTTCAGTTCGTTGCCGCTGGTTAAGCAATACATGGCACGTACTTTTAAGTCGCTCAATCATTTTCAAAGGTTCATTCAGGAACCCTCGAGTCAGAAATTGCTGCCTGATCCGTTACAGGCACCTTATGTTCAACCCCCCTACACCCTGGTACTTGAGGTTAAGGACCTACTTATACATCCTGACTGGACTTATCAAACGGGGTGGCGTTTTAAAAAACGTCCTGGCGTGGATGTTTTCTTAAGGGAATGTTCCAAATATTTTGAGATTGTTGTATATACAGCCGAGCAAGGAATGACGGTTTTTCCACTGCTTGATGCCCTCGATCCCAGCGGCTATATAATGTACCGTCTTGTGCGTGATTCAACTCACTTTGTTGGTGGCCACCACGTTAAGAATCTTGATAATCTGAATCGTGATCTCAAGCGTGTGGTAGTCGTGGACTGGGACAAAAACTCGACTAAAATGCACCCGGGAAATACATTTTCGATACCACGCTGGTCCGGAAACGACGATGACACAACATTATTTGATCTTATCTCGTTCCTGAGCGTGCTCGGAAGCAGTGAAGTGGACGATGTGCGGGAGGTTCTTCAATATTATAATCAGTTTGAGGAGCCCATTGCTAAATTTCGCGAAAATCAACGAAAGCTATGTGAACAGATGCAGGCCGATGAATTCGAGAAGCTGAGTAAGCCAAAGCCTATGGTTAAGAACTGGTCGCGCGGCTTCATGAAGCCCTAAAGGTATATCGTAGAAGCCTTTTAGGTTTAGACTTTAACGTTCCCTTTGCATTGTTGTGATTTAACAAATTATTATCAAAATAATGTGTATATTTATTTACTCTTAAATCCAAGAACTAATAATTTTATTGATTATGTCTTTGCCGCTGACGGTTTAGTTGCAGTTACTAGTTAAAATCCAGCGAACTATGTAATTTTTCCAATTGGTCGTTTATATCCTGAAGTAGAGTATGTAGATCCGTCAGCTGGGCTATTTTCCTAATGCTACTGTGGCCAGTTTGCACCATGCTTGCATGCAAAATATTCCTGGCTACGTCGAACGTCAGCTGCTCCCTTTTCAGTTTTTTTCTTATCTCCAATTGTAATTTCTTGATGTAAAAGATCTGCCGTCTTCGCTTATAGCAATGGAACTGCCGTTTTAATGTATATAAGATGAGCAGCAGCCAGAATGTAAGCACAATTACAAAATAATAGGGTACCTTAATTAAAACAAAACGTCCATTAACGTCGAGAGCGAAACTTAATCTATATGCTGTCTTCTCTCCCTCACCATCCATTGCTGCATATACGATATATTGATGAACTCAAACAATACTAATGTACTTATGTGCCATAGACTTGGAATCAAATGACACAAAATTCAATGAAAATACAAATGATCGATATATGTATATAAAACTGTGATTATTTCTTGGTCTGATCATAGTCCAATCCGTAAAAGCATTTTAAGTCGTGGGCAAATACAAAGACAACGTTACTGCTGCAAGTGTTAAATATTACTGTAAAACGATTGTATACTAAAGATAGTTTATATTGGTCATCGTTGAACGGTGAATGGAGAGCTTTTCCAGAAATATTGTGTGATAATCGGTAATATATTTTTGGTTTCAAATGATAAAATCAAATAGTCAAGTGCTTGGGCACTAAGCAACCTGCAGCATTGCAAACAAAGAATACAAACTCAGAATTAAATTCAAGGACATCGTCGAGGCAGCCAACTTGCAGCTATACATACATATATATATTTGTAAAATACAGAAAAGTTGAAGTATATTGCGCATTGCAATGTATCTGTAATTGTATATATAAATGTACAAATATATATAAAGGTGATAATATATACACAAAAGAGGAAATCCTCATACATCCATCCACATTTGCAGCGCGCACACGTGGCCACTTAAGCTTCGCCCACGCAAACTCAGCAACATGTTGCCGGCTAAAGTTTTTCTTTGTTTTGTGTGTGTTTTCGTATGTGTAGTTGAACACGTGCTAATACAAACGAAACACTTTCAACAATCAACAACATTGGTTTTGTATTTGCCATGCGCAGCTCTGAATAGGAGAAACTAATCGGGGCATCAACTTGACTTGAAGAGAATTTCAATATTTTTAAAGGGATGCTGTGGTTGCCTACCCTGCACTCATTGAATATGGGTCAAAAGGGTATATTGTTTTAGGGTAAATCTACCCAATTATCTCCATAAATAAGATATATTCTTAATCAGGATGACGAGCTGCATCGATGTAGTTTCGTCTGTCCGTCCGTCCGTCCGTCAGAGTGAACGCATAGATTTCGGAAACTAAAAATTCTTGAGACATGTTTTCTGCTATACGAAGATCGAGCTTATACCTTTTTTTTCGATATCTCGTAAAAACAACATATTGGCATCCTTGTTAGATAGCTTCAAAGTAATATAAATTGTATAATAATTATTTAATGTTTACGACATGAAAAGCTATAAAATAGATATGGACAAATATGTACGATGTGTTTAAGCAATGCATTGGTCTCTGAAGAGGATAGTGGATTCGCAAATAAATGTAAATGAAAATATCAATTGTAGCAAATTAACGCATGCGCCGAGCAACTATAGGAGATACATATGAGTCGCCGAGTTGTTGCCTCACTTTCACTGTGCAAACGTCAAAGGAATAGTTGTAGAAATCTGGAACAGTGCATAAGAACTGTCAGCCTCCTTGTCGACGTTTTGAGGATGGCAAGTTGAAAAGCTTTTAATCGGGTTGTGAAAAGGAGCAATATTCTGTTTCCGAATTTGTTCTCTTCTGTTTGGATTTAAGTATATTGCAAAAAGCTTTTGGCAACGCCGCAAATGTTGTTCAGTTTAGACAGAAAGTACGTCGTGTTCGTGTGCTGCGCCGCAATTTCTGATAGAATATTGTTTGTATCTCGAAACGGGATTGCAATTAAGAGCTGCCAAGTAGATTACATAGTGAAGGCGTGTAAGTGTGTTTAACAAATTAATAAATAAAGCAATGGAATAAAATAAAAGCTGGGGAAATTAAATCGGATGCGGTTTGATATTATGTGGGTATGTGCTGAAAGTATTCCCCAATACTTGTTATGTTGTTTTTCCGTATCAAAAGAAAATAAACAAAATAAAACAAAATATTTTCTATATGTGTTTTTGCTTATATTTCATGTTTAAGAGTAAAATTTATCCTCACATAATACTCTCTTCAAAATGTACATTAGGTAGTTATGCACTATGCTCCATAAGTGCTTCTCCGTATTGCAAAACGTTTTTAAATACAGATTTTCTTGCTTTTTTTTTGTCTTTAAATGACTAAAAATCGTAATGCGTTTGTTGAAATTCTATTTTAATTTTAATTATAATGTCGAAATCCGTTTGAAGTTATTAGGTTTAGATGCTGTAAGAAATATAATAAACAATTAATAACTAAATAAATATGAAAACATATTTTTAAATCCCTAGAAAACTCCAAACTTGTAAATAGCTTAAGTTTTTTCCAAGGGACATGTTTTGAGATATGAGGTATCGTCTTACTTATGGTTTATATCCTTTAATAGCACTTAATATTTACAAACTGCAGAATTACTACAGCCACACCCTAAACATATTTGTTTCGCAAGAACAATGTTCGTGCACAGCTCTCACACAGGCACTTACACAAAAACTTACAAGGGGAAGACGTAGAGGACCGCAACATGAATCAACATAGGTAGGTTACAACAAGTTGAAATAGTAAATTTGAGTAAGCCTAAAAATAGGAAAGGGTGCAAAAATGTTAGCTACAAATAGAAACAAATGTCAGATGAAATTAAATCAGTTAAAAAATAACAAACCTAAATAATCCAGAGTGTACTTTTCAAACCGAGCTTATGGGCCTCGAAAAAGAACTATGTAATTATTTCTCATATGATTTCTTTATTCAGTGGGGGTAAGCATGTGACAATTTATTTTCTTACTATGTACATATTTATGATAAAAGCCACGAAGGTCACTTTAACTGTGTGTTGCGTTTTCTTGTTTGAACTTTGGTTTTTTTAAAATAAATTTCTAATTATATATGTATAAATTACAATCCTTGTTATAGCCTTAATAAAAGAAGGATACAAAGAAATAACCGCAGCGATGGCAACGGAAACCTTTCTTGACTTGACAAGCGACCGAGCAAAATCATCGAAACGCCCCATAAGGCCAAAATTACTCAAATTACCGGACGTTACCACACCACACCGTAGTCGCAAGAAGATTAAAATAAAGGTTGGTAATAGACAAATTTTTAAAGTGTACGCTTCAGGACAAATTTCACTCCTTGATAATGTTTAATCTGCAGTCAAAAGATCGCCCTGCAGCTGTACGTGATCGCATCTATGATGATCCGGCCTACACAGAAGACATAAGCCATCTTGCAAACCCCCAGCGCCGGAGCAGCATATCGGGAAAATCTTCGAGAGATTATAAACTTAGTTCCGATAACTCTACGCAGCCGGTGGCAAGTAGCAGCTCTTTAGGTAAACGCAGTCAATTGACAAAGGACTTTTTAAAGTATGCGATGAATGCACCCAGCAACAGTGGAGCAGTAAGCATAAACTTTGATTCCAGTAGTTCGGACAACGAGCAACCGAGGCTATTTAAAGATGGTAGCGTACCAAGGCGTGCTTTAAGCCTGGAGCGAAATTTAGCAGTTACTGGGGCCGAGAAGAATGATAAGAAATCGGCCCCTCAAAAGCGCAGCTCCAAGCAAAAGCGAAATCTGAGCCTTGACAACAGCCGAAAGGGAACACAGCCACATCTGCAGCAGATTCCAGCAAAAAGCATACAGAGTTACGAGCTCGAAACACTAAACACTCGGAAGGAACACAATCGGAAGAAATACCTGGAAACAGAAATGAAACTTGGTCGGGGCTCCAGCGATCAGGATGACCTTTTCTCGGTACGTAGCTCGGCACAGAACTCGGCCGCCACGTTACCCATAGAGACGAATGTTAAGTTGCCAATTGGGCGACGTCTTTTAAAAGGCGAAATTGGTATCAAGAGCTTTAACTACTACCTCCTGAAGGAGGGCTTAAAGAGCTCTAAGAAGCTTGATAAGAAACGCAATACAGGTGATACAGCCGGCAATAGTGTCAAGAAATTGCATACACGCAGCGAAGAGAACATTTATGAAGAGATATTCTTTAAGGATACGCCAAGCTCAATTAAACCAAAAAACAGTGCACCAATAACAGCTGGAACTGTGCTACCCGATGAGGATGTCGAAAGACAGCACCAGCAGCAACAGCAATGTTTGCCAGATTCAGTCGTTTTTGCCGATTGTGAGCTCTGCATGCAGCAATGCAGAAATGAAAATTGCAAGTATTGTCTAGTCCAAGGTGAGTCGACGGCAAATAGTCAACTGCAGCAGGACAATGGCAGCGATAAGCTGGCAAGCACAGAAAGTGGATTTCCGGCTGCCCACATTCTTGAATTTCAGTCATACAATCCAAGCAATCCGGGCGTATATAAAATTGAAACGACACCCGTGGCAATAACGGGCGAATACAATCCAATACTGCAGTTCCAGAAATCTTCTGCGAAAACATCCACATCTGCCACGATATCTTCCTGCGAGCAGCAGCATAATAATAATAACCATCGCAACCACCAACAACAAGATCAGCATCAAAAGCAGCAACCAGCTTACAGAGGATTTAATAAACACCAAGAACATTCCAGGTCTCACCAGCATAACTTAGCAAGTCGTCCGCTTGCGAATCACTACAACGTAGGCGGCAGCCTGTTGCTGGCACAGGTGACAGCACGGCAACCGCAACCGCAACAGCATCTGCAACAGGGTTATATTGTCGGCTACAAAAATGGTAGTGTTGCACCGACAGCCTCATCCGGGCACCGTATTAATACGAAGTCTTCCTCGTCTAGTGACTCACTGCCCTATCACAAATATAACACAATGCCACTATTAGACGCGAATGTGTTTGCAGCTCCGGCCACGGCTGACATCTACTATGCTATAGGAGGAGTAGGGGCGCCATCGCTGCATCCTTTAATGTGCGCGGCCAGTAGACCTATTGGTGGCTCGCAAATTTTGGTCGATCAATTTGAATCGCATATGTACAAGAGCGACTCAAAGGCTTCCATCCTGAGTGAATTTTCTCTGCGCAGCAGCGATAATTCACAGCGGTACTCGCGATACCCGCATCGCTCCAGTCTCTTCTCCTCGCACACTCCTCGCACAAATCATCGTCGACTTTTTGGCAGCACGGAGAACTGTCGAGTTGCCTATGACTGTAGACGCTGCAGCTTTGACGGCGTCATGAGTGCTGCTGGAGTCGGTGTGACCCCGGCTGATAAATGCAGCAACACGGATAACTGTCGCTACGAGTGCCGTAACTGCGACTGCTCATCGAGCTATTTCAGCTCCGACTTTGATGATATTTATGGCTCGATGGCGCGTGGTGGCAGCAGTGGCATACCCCGTAAAACGGCGGCAGGTACGTTGCCATCTAGTGGACCGACGGATCCAACTACTAGCTACAAGGCACCGACCCCTGAACAGCCGCAGCCGCAACAGCTCGACCTCAAGCAGAACAAATATGCCATGGACTTCTTCAAGCATGTCAATGATGTAAAGCGCAGCATTTATCAGTCCGAAACGCAGCGTAATAATAGTTTGGACTCAACACGTCGTGGATATCGAACCAGCACCAACAATAACTCCGATTTAAGTCCTAAAATCAAAGCATCATATCCTCTGGAAGCGACATTTATTGTGACGACATTGCCACTTAGCAAAGGGCGGGGCATGACAGCAAAGCCCACGCCGGCGCCTAGGACCAGCCTTAAAAATCAGTCGCAAAAGCAGACACCAGAGGAAGATACGACGCACACACAAAGTAATCGTAAGCTGCATCCTACGGAAATACATGAATATCCTTCATTGGATCGACTAGTAGCGTCCACAACAGGTGCTACACCAAAGTGGCAGAGCCGCGCAACGTCGGAGGAAGGGCCTAAAGGCAACAAACAAAGGACCATGCACAAAGAAACAGAGCTAAGAGAGCGACGTGATCGAAGTGCACCTACAGCTTCAATTGAGCCAATTGCCTCATCTACAGTGGGTACATCAGGTAAGAAACATCATCGCTCGAATAGCGGCAACCCAGCGTCAACCATACGTCGCAAGGATATACCCGCGCCACCGCCACCCTCGCCAGCCACTTACTCAGATCTGCAAGAATTAAAGGCCAATATGGAGGGACTTCAGGACGACACTAAGTCACGCTCTTTAGAGAGTGAAGCCAGCGAAACTCCCACAACTACAGGGCAAGCGGCTGTTAAAATAGTTGAAGCTACTGTAAAATGCACAGAGCCAGTTGTATTAACAGACGCAGCTCAATTGGCACTGATAGCAGAAGAAACCGGAAAGAGCAATGCAACAATGGTGCCAAGCAAAACTGCACCGGAAGCGGATGATGATGATGTTTTCTACGATGCACGCAGCGAAAACTCGATAGGCGGCTTAAGTGTCGCACCCTCAACGGAAGGGGCTCTACAATCATCGAATTCTGGTCAAAAAAAAAAGGTAAGCATGCAAATTTAATAAACTAAAGCTAGGAATCCATACCTTTACAAGCAAATAAAGCCCAAATTAATGAGAAACTAAAGAAGTCTTCGGTACGCCGAAAATTTAATACCCATTCGGACATTTTCCTTTTGGGTTTGCTCGGAAATTTGTGTTTAATGAAAATATCTTGGGAAACAGAGTATTTTGCAATACAAAAACTCATTTTCGACTGATTCTTCCCATAGTCCTATATAATATAGTAGTGCGATATTGATAAAATTTAATGCAAGCAGCAAAGTTTAAGTAAGAAATGGCGGGTTTGAGAAGTACTTATTTTTGACCTATCGTTTCTATGGCAGCTATATGATATAGTGATCCGATCAGGCCGATTCCAACATATGTATTGCCTACATCAGAAAGACGGCTTCAAAACTGAGACTTGCTCGAATAGAAGCAGACAGATGGACGTGGCTTTATCAAATCGGCTGTTGATACTGATATAGAATATATATATTTGATGGGGCTCGGAGATATCTCCTTCTATGCGTTACAAATTGCATGACATAATTATAATATGCTATCTAGGGGTATAAAATTATCATTTCATTTAAACCCTGCACTAAATAAAATGCGATGTTTATTGTAGGATCTTTATGAAACAAGCAGGAATAATATTTTCTTCAATTTATTTTTTACATTTTTTACAGGATGTGTGCTTTATACAGCCAGAACTTGATAAGTCTGGCGTATTTGCACAATCGGTAGGTACGAACCTCACAACGAACCTCTTGCAAGAGCAAGAGCAGCTCAAGGACATTGTGGAGAACTCCTTACCAAGCACAACGATGGATGCAACTGAATCGAGTCAACCGTTACCAAATGATGATTATGTTGCCGGGGCCAAGAGTAAAACATCAACAGAGGCTAGCATCAAGAAAAGTTGTCATACATGTTGCCAAACTGAAGCAACAGCGAGTATTCAGCATAACGAAGCAACAGTCAAAACAAACACCGAAGTAGCGAGCACAACAAAAGGCAATAATAATACAAGCATAACTGAGGTAACAACCAGAAATGTTGACGCAACTATAGCGGAGGGGCAAGCAACCAGTTTGATGGCAACAAATGTTGCCTACGACGATTCAACAATCATTGGAGCAACATTGGAGCTCGAGTTCAGTTGCAATTCAGCACACACGGACAGCGCAACGCTTGCAAACAGGTACGCGTAAACGTGATATACATTACACTGCCGCTAATCTGTAACAATACAGATAAACGTATACATACTAGGTTGTACATACATATATATATATATAGGTATCTAACTTGACAATTCCATAACTAAAAGCACTTGTTGTTTATTTGTGCGGATAGTATCATACGCTGTAAATACAATCGATATTAACTGATTTTCGGCCGCGAGCAACACGCTTTAACTACCCGCAAAATTTATAAATAGATATATATGTTATAAGTGTTTGTTTCCAAAAAGTGCAGAGTGTGCGTCGTAAACGTTTGTGTGCTGAAAGAGCAAATGTTGAGTGCAAAACATTTTAAATAAGAATCTGTTCAAAAGTTATGAATGCAACTGCATTGCTCACATTAGATCCATGGTGAAATTTTACATGCATTTGTATTTTGTTTGGAGGACAACACAAGAGCTCAGCAATAAAAGCGAGCTCAGGCAACTCACACGGCTCAACAGTGGACTATTATTATTATCATTATTACTATTATTATAATAATTTACTATTTATTATTATTATTATTATTATTATTATTATCAATAATTTTTTAATTATTATTATTATTGCTATTAGTAATAATAATAATATTATTTCCAAGTTTTTTACAACCGATTTTTCACAACCACCAACGTACCTTCAATAATAAGTTTAGCTTGCTAGCTTTTCAATCAATTATATTTGGGTCACAAAATGCATCCCCAACGAATTCAATGAAAAAAAAATAATTGTAGGGAATTAAAATAAAAATAATCAAAGGAGTGAAGGCCAGTCATTGCGGAAAATTAGAAATTAGTAATGAAATAATATTATAAAATAATTTTAACATGGTAGATGTTCACGTATTAAATTGATTCGGCTTTTTGTGTAAAGGTTTGCACTGTGTTCGGAAAAAAAATTATTTATATTTAGTAATGCATAATAATAAATAAGTAAAAAAATAAATTATTTAGGCTTCACATAGGGTAACATTTGATCTCTTAAAGTACTGATTAAAAGTAGGCTCAACCAAAATATGTGCAATGAATATAAACATGCATAATTTCTTTGCAAAATGCTAGCATTTTTGGTGTTTGATATTTTCATTAAAACCGTACCGGAAACTTCCTGCGGCTTGCGTTTATAATATAAATTTGATAATCAATAATTTGGGGAAAACATTTTTCCTGCGCACAAAGCAGCCACACAAAAACATATTTGGTATGTATTTGTATTAATGTCATTCAATTTGTTGTGTTCTATTTGCATTTTGCCAAAAACTCTCAATCTCTCACATACATTTAAATGTACATTCAACATGAAATCGTACATTTACACAACAAATCAAAAAAGAATTGAGTATGTTAACACCTTAGTTGAATTTTAATAACTACGAAGTCGGTGGAAACAATAAAGATATCGGGGTCTTTGTTTTAATTATAATTAATATACAATAACTATTGATGTTGCTATTGTTGTTGTTGCCGTTTATAGCAAGCATATCAAAACGATAAAATTGTAATGAAATAATAAGCTTAATAAGAAGATGATATATTTCCAAGCCTAAACAATGCTAATCAAGAAACTGCCCATAGACTAAATAAAGCTAGCTTACAACCTTGAGCCTTAAAGTGCGCAACTTTGCTCAAACTAGTGAAAAATTGGCTAACTAAGTATAGGATTGCAAGGTATACCATAAACATTTTAATAAAGCGGTAAAACTTGTTTTCTATGACCGCCACTTAATTTGCTCTTGGTCATTGGCTTTAGAGTATTGGCGGCGTGTTTCGTTAAGCCTGTTGCAACTGCAGTTGCTGCAGCAGCAAACTTACCACTACGCTGCTCAAGGGGACAGGGGAAGCAGAGACAGGAGTACGAAAGCTAGTAAAATGACTCGGCCCAAACTTGAAAGTGCAAGTTTAAATTTGCAGACAAGTGCCATCGATTTACCCATACCCACCACTAAATATCCCCTGCCACAAGCCACGAGACAGATAAGTGAAACCAGTTTTATAGGTTGCATTATTATGAGTCGTTTTTGTTTATACATTTGAGGTTTGAGCATGTGTATGGATAATGCATTTTAAAATGGAATGGAAATGGAATAAAGCCCAAGATTGCGAACCAAACATTGTTAGAAATGCAGCAATGCTTAGAGTTATATAGCATCAAAAGGTCATACCCATTAAAACATGTAAAAGTTTTGTGCAAATGTATGTTACAGGCAGAAAAATGCTGTCGGTAAGAGAAGTCTCCAGCTAATCTTGATTTGGGAATGCTATAGAAGAACGGTAAAATAATAATATTGTTCTGCATATACCCTTTTAATCCAATATCAGTGGGTATAGAGTATAAAAACTTGTCCCAAAACATGATTGAATGTGTACACGGTATTTCCTGTTTATTACGTGGAATTTTCACTTTCGTATAGTTTGGCAAACTTCAATTTACTAAGTCATCTATACATTTGTGAATTGACTAAGTGAGTTACGTATTAGTCAGTAAACAACAGATAATTTATTAACTAACCACTCAATAATTAATCCTTTTTTATATTTACCCACATAATTATTAACTTTGCACTGAAACCAAAGGGCAATGACATCGAACTGTCCATTATTGGTTGTACTCCATTATTTTTCAATAATAATAATGACTCTATTCACACGTAGTATGCCTGCTTTCCATGCATTTAAGCAAAAGTATATTATGCCAGACAAATAGCTGCATTACATTATTCCCAAACGGCGGAGAGTTAAGTTGTTCGAAATTACCGTTGAGTGGCTAAGTATGAGCCCAGAGTAATAAAAGTTGTACATTTTATGCGAATAAGGTTGATATCCTCGAAAGGGGTATTATATTTTTGTCATTTTTTGGTTTATTATAAAATCTTGAGCAAACTCGGCATTTATTAGATTCATTTTTCTCCTTATAAGCAAAATCTGATCAACATTGGACCACAATATCTTATAGGAGCGATCAATTTTTAATAAAAAACCTTTTTGGTTTTTTAAGATAACTAACAAACTAACCGACATTTACCAATTTTACTATACTGCCAAATCTTATCAAGATCGGTACAGTTCTATAGGAAGAATAGGTCGCAATAATATTCTGTTTTCCTAGATATTTTCACGAAACCCATCATTTACGAGCTTTCTTTTTTTAACATATCTGCCGTAAAGCACAAGGGTATTAAGTCTTCGGTGACAGCCACCACATGACAAATGTCAAGTGTAGATGCTGGAGAGGGGTACATGAAAATGATAGATTGAATTTTATGCTTGTGTGTTTCGTTCTACATAAATTGCTTGTTTTGATGCCCATCCGTATTCATCAGGCTGCCATATTTTGGGTTACATTAGACAGGGCTTATTTACACACTCGTATGTATATTAGTACGCATGTAACTTAACAAGTTTATTTTTTCTGCCTATAAATATAAGCACTACAGTGGGGCCATTTTGCCAAATCCTGTAGAGCCCCATAGCGTCACACAGATGTTAAAATCAGCGCCTATAGAGTTCAGAGCATTCATATAGAACGTGTTTGATCTCAGATATGTTCAGATATGTTTATACTCTGAACCCATGATTATGGTTAAAAAGTGTATACTATTTTTATGCGAATGTATGTAACAGGCAGAAGGAAGCATCTTCGACCCCATAAAGTGAATATCATCAAATCAAATAAATATATCAGATGAAACTACCCACCAATTTATGCCACATTTTTAATATTGTCGGCTTTTTGTGGACATACGAATATTCTATCGCACAATAAGATCAGCTGCTGCAAATTGCGTGAAGATTGGTGGAGAAACAGAGAAGTTATTAAAGAGAACTTGTGGTTATATTCATATTGGACACGTGCTTGCGGCATCTAGGACAAATTGCAAAAACTTCTATATATGTACATGTGCACACATACACACAAACTCATAGACACAAATCGAATTGCAATTATTATTAGCTTAGGCAACGGTCGTGTAGCGCGAGGTTCATTTGGGGTTGGTTGAAGATAGTTCAGGGTACCTCCTAATCGGGCACTTCCGACACGTTTACTTAATGTAATATCTTAACTACAATGTGAGAGAGCTAGTTAGGATGTGTAGCAAACACACATTACAATATCTATAAAACTTAGCAATATATATAAATTTAAGAAATAGATTTTCAATTATAGACTTGGACGATTCTTTGCTGCCGTAACTTGAAGTAAGTTATTCATATACATAAATGTCAATCTATTCCCAAATATGTTAGTTAAAGCGTATTTTAGAGAATTTAGGCTTGTTATATACTTTTTGATATAAGACGACATATGGTAAAGCATCAACTCCATAAATGGAAACTAGACGCTTAAAGAATTTTTATCACGGCTAAAGGCCAACTCGAACACACTCTTAGCAAAACAATTAAGACAAGTGGGTGCTTTAATAGAGAGTGCCTAGCTAAGAAATACCCTGCACCCAAAGTAAATGCATTTGTTTTCTTAATTATTAGGGGGATTGGGCAGGTATTGAAAACTTTAAAACTATTTATTTCTGATAAATTGAAAGCTAGATAAATCTACCCAAAAAGCTTATATTGATTGATTTCGATGAACAGGGAATACCCTTTTTACACATTTTTAATAGTTACAGGGTATGCCGGTACAGCCTTCCAAATATAGGAAAACTAGTTACGTCACGTCAAGAGTGCCCACTATACCATATGCTCGAATTTCAATTCTTCAGTGGAAAGTTTCTTAACTAACTCAAACTACTTTTTATAGTGTCCCGTGGGTGTTATATATTTATGTATATGAAGAAAACACGTTTTCAATGTAAGCTTCATTTATTAAATGATAAAGTTGAGCAACTGCAATCGTCACCTATGCAATTAGGCCCTCGTAAGCATTGTTCACAATGGTATAAAATATTTGGAGCAAAACTATGTCGAATATTTATCTTTATGTCACCTACACAGCTATATTTAATTATTGTCAAGTGCTGACCATTATTGCTTAAAAATACCTCGGTGCTGAAACATATTAAGTTTAAGTTGGCCACTGCTTGTGAGTTTTTATGTTGCTAGTCTCCAATATTCCGTTGGAAAAATTGATTAGTATAAAATTATTAATGTGAACAGTAAGACACTTAAATGCTACTAAAGAATGTGCTAGTACACTATTAATGAATGAATCTAAATATTTATGCAAACTCAAGCATATTATAAAATTACGCAAATTGCATCATTATACTATGCTACCCCTTGGGTTAATTAACCCAAGTAAACGTTTAGCGAATAGGTATTACTAACGCTTTCAAATAAAGGACCCAATTCGTGTAAATAAGGTACTGATTGATTGAACTTAATTAGTTCATCCATCTTACTTTAATAGAAGTGAACATGTTTTTGTGCTTTTTGGAGTATTAATCACACTTTCCTAACTTTCAGTGATCCGCCTACAGTGACTACTGAAATAGTAGCAACATGCCAGGACATCACCTGTCTCGACTCGAGTGAGGCATTTTCTGACGATAGTCACCTGACGCGTGATTCGGTAACGCGTGAATCGCAAAACGACGAGCTGTCATCATCGACGCACGACAAGATCGATCTTAGTACCTTACCACTTCCCGCTCTACCAACCAAACGAAGACGCACACGCTTACGCGCTAGTCCCTCAAAGAATCATCACCAACAGCAGCCGCGCTTGGAAAACAGCCAATATGAAGATGCGGCGGCAGAAAAAACGTCACACCGAAATAAAAAACCACAAAGGTACTCAGTCCAGGAAACGATAAACATTGAGCAACTGAACGTACCGCATGATAACGCAAAACTGCAACAAAATCAGCAGCAGCAGCAACACCTCTCCGCATTCCAGCAATACGTTGCCAAGCGACGTGAAAGTCTTGAAGCATCGACGCGTAATTTTAACGAGAAACTGGAGGCGCGTAGAATGCTCTGCCACATGGGTGGTAATGGCGGCTCAAGTGGTTCGCCCGCTGCAGCAGCAACGGATGCTGGAGTGCCTACATATATATTTGGTGAGAACTTCTATGGTATATCTGGTGGTACGCAAAAGCCCTATTCACAAGCCAGCAATAAAGAGGAAATCTTTCTTAACAAGTCTGGCTGGGTGCAAGTGAGCAAAAAGCTAAATACGAACAGTGATAACAAAGGCCGACGCGTGAATAACAGTCATCATAATGGAGAAGCTACTGAAATGGATAAGGCACATGGCCGTAAAGCTATACGCGTAATACAAATTGGTCAAGCACACCGGCAAGAGCAAAACCGGCAAACATTTCCACACAATTCGGCAAGCCGGTGTGATCGGGAACCCAAATTCGTGGGTTCCAAGGTGGAGGAGTTAATTCAGCGCAACGAAGCACGATTAGGTGGGATATCCTCAAGAGATTCAGCTTTGCGTCCGGGCTATCGAATTGTGGATCCCCAATTGGCGAGCATACTTAATGAGCGTCCCGGCTTTCTGCCTGTTACCGATCTGGATTCACCGCCACCCATAACCCCTATTCTTTCGCCACCGCCCGCTTTTCAGGATAACAGCAGCAAAAGCAATCGCACAAATCGACATCAGGAGCGACGCAAGATTAACCTCCAGTCATATGTACCTACTCAGCAATTACGGGTACTTCAGACCCCGATTCAAATGCAACAGCAGCCGGGACATGGCTCCGGCAGCGGTACTAGCAGTGGAAAGGGCATGGTCTTTTCGCGCAGCTTCGAGTATGACATGCGGCGACCCACACCCGCAAACAGATACGTGGACACATTTTCGCGCAGCTTTGATGACAACCTGTCGGAACGACCCGTAGTCATGCCATCTTTGGCAGTGCAGCGCGAACGCTCCCTCAACTTTAGTACATTAACTGGTAATTCGCCGAATTACTTAACAAAGCGAGAAGGCGGCGGCGGCGGCGGTGGTGGCCGATCGCTGCGCAGCCGAGAAAACTCTCCAAAATACCTTCAGCCGCAAACCACCGCCTATCTTAATGCGTCTGTGAAGGAAGCACCACCGGCGTACAGCGTAGCTAGCAACAATATGGCAAAGTATTCGCCGCGCTCCCGACATGACCGCGCCTTTGAACGCTCTAAGAGCCACAATGTAATGGGACGTTCGCGGAAGTCACAATTCAGCTGCATCAGTGGCAACAGTGGCTCAGGCTCAGGTGGCCCCCCGCCTATCGCCCAGGGAATGTCGCGTTTTCGGAGCCTGGATATGACCATCAATAATCGTCTTAATTCTTGCGATAGCGGTGCCCGATCAGGTAAGTTTAAATAGGGTGCCTCGCTCCTTAGAGTTTCAGTCAAACCCCTTATTAGCTGATGAAAACCTACAAACAATTTCATAAAATCAGTTTAAATATTAATAAAAACTTTTAATAAGCATCTAGAAAATATTGCTTTCACAGATCTTTCGAACGACGAGCTCGATATCGAAGAGGGCAGCTCTACGGAATTCCTTTCAACTAACTATCAGCTGCCTAATGTGGCCACGGGAAGCGCTAGTGTCTCACCATTTAAGACTCAGCGTCAGCGATCTCTTACACCTGACCGAAACGACTCGCACAGCTCTTCAAGCAGTTTGCGAAAACAGCGTTCTCTCACGCCGGACTCACGCTCTCTGACTCCAGAAGAAAGGCGAAAAAAGGGCTCCCAGATATCCCTGATTGGCTCACGGCAGAACTCTAGCTCCCGCAGCAATACGTTAGAGCGACGACAGCGTCACGACGATAAGACTCCGCCAACTATTTCACGCAGCTCTTCTAGTTCAAGCTACAGCGGCGGCGAATCGCATGATCTATTGAACGGCAGTCCTAACACTGCTAGTAGTGCTGCTGGTGGTGCATCTTGTGCGACCAATTATCGTCGTTCGATGGGACGCACTCCAGCCAAACAGGTAGAGCAGGAACATCTCATTCGACGCTCCAGGTAAGAGCAGGCGTTTCTCATATATGTATGCAAATGTTATAAAGTATTGTGCATCACAGTAGATCCCTTCAACTTAGCGAGCGGTCCCCGAATCGCACGCAAAAATCTATAGTATGTGTGAGTGGTGGGGTTTCCCCACTGCAAAAGCAGCAGGCAACGGCTCATTATCAGCAAGCGAATACCGGCATCTTTCCAAACTCCCTACGTGCCACAGTATCCGCCAACAAATTATTGCCCAGTTCAAAGGGAGCAACGGGCAACTCGACAGCTCGACAGCGTCAAGTCGACTTGGACAAGGCACGTTCCTTTGATTTTGACTACAACAATTACAATCGAAGTGGTGCCACCAGCAATGCCACACGTTCCGCCCATACCAGTGGTGGTGGTGGTGGTGGTGGTGGTGACAGCGGCAATAATCCGAATTTACGCTCGGATTGTGATAAGAGCCGGTCTTTTGATGAGGACTACCGCGCAGCACTGCACAACAACAACGGCATAAGTAGCTCTGGCATTCATTTTTTTAAATCAGGCAGTGAACCAAATGCTGTTGTATCATCGTCCACTCGGTTGCGCCATTCTAACTCTCCAGTCGGTGGAGCGGCCCATGATCGCACGCCGACACGTTCACCACAATCTTCAGGCTCATCGTCCAACAACATCCAACTAACATCGCAATGCACGAGCAGCCCCCCCGCTAATAGCGGGTATGGTATGCGCCTATGTGACCATGAACTATCTTACGATATGCTGAGAAAGTCACCGATCATGAATTTCCGACGTGGGGACAGCGAATACGAGATCCCCATGCAGTTGCGTAATCGCGAAACTATCAACTCCGGCGGCAACAGTGAACTTAACTTTATGAGCAACGAAACGCATATTTACGAGCACCCAACGACTGTGCTTAATCCGCAGCGTTCTGGCTCACGTGAAGAGCATTTGTACAGGGCGACAGGTGCGACGCCGCGCAGCAGCAGGTACTAAAGCGACTGACTTGAAGATTAATCAATTAATCCCGATAACAATATTGGCCACATCTTTCTCTGTAACCTATATTTAAAGCGCACCAAGGTTTTAACTAAAAGTCGCCTCAATCAAAACAAATTTATAAAGCTAAGCTTAAGCGACTAACTTGACCAAAACATATTCCCAGGGTATGCTTTAATATGTTGTAAAAAGACTGCTTACATATGTACACTAAACCAGTGGCAATTAACTCATTGTACTCCCTTTTGCTAATACTTTGACTAACACGAATGGTTAATGGATAAAGTAATGCAGATTACAATTAATTTAAGCAAAGCATATGCCAAATCTTAAAACAAAATGAAAATACCAAACAAACAAATATTTAATTTATAATTAAATATAAATGCCAAATTATAGTCATGCTAAAAATATGGAGCAGAATTAATTATAAGAAACTGTACAAATCGGATCGTATATTGGTTTTGCCCTTAGCCACCTTTAAGTTTCTCGTTATACATACATATTTTGCAGTCCTGAACCGCAAACCGCGAGAACAGCCACCAACAAGAAATGCAGAAAAAGTCTAACATATTGCGATTATTGGCCACGCTGTAGTGCTTGCAGTAGCACAAGCTCTAGTAACTTGCAGGATTTTGCCTCTTTGGGTCAGAGCGCAATCAGAGGACAAGATGCTTTGCCCGTTGTTACTCAAGATATGCAACAGCCACATATCTCCAAAGTGGCCTTAAAAGGGAATCTCATTAAATTCGACATAAGTGAAACAGCAACAAGAATATCTCCTAGCCAGGCCGGTATACCGCAGTGGATGTTCCTGTGCAGCGGTGGCATTAATAGAAAACCTGAAAGGGGAGAAGCCAATCCTCATGACTTCAAAACGACCAGTAGAGATCGTCGACAGCCAACTGCTGTTATTCGACCTCGTGTCGTACCCCTGACTGCCAGTTCACTTGTACTTTTAGGAGGAAATTGCGATCTTGTTACCGGAACACAAACTTCTGATGCCAAAGAGCAGTCCAGACATGTGCCTACGGAATCTCTACAAAGGTAAGGCCATACGAAACTATTTATATTGATGGTTTAAATATCTATATATAAAATTTTTTGTACTGACTTACTTACTGATTTGTGATCAACGCACAGCCTAAACCGTAGAAGCCAACAAGCTGAAATGTTTACTCTGGTTGCCTTATGTGAAATTATTTCACCAGAAATCATGAAGTTTTTTTGTTTATCATCCGATGGCCCTCAAACTCATATTTAAAAAATTGCCCTCCTTGGCAGAAATGCCATAGAGTGCACAGATTTGGTGGCTTAATTATAGGTTCAAACTTATTTCCAAGGATCTTTACTTTTCACAAAATCAAAAACATTTGGATTGGCAGTTTGGGTCAAAGTTTTGGAGGAAGTTTCAAGATTCGTCCTTATACTTATACTTATACTTAAGAACATGTATCATAAAATTAGTGTTGGAATCGAAGAATGAAACTGTAAAAGGGTACTTTATATTTAGTGCGCAGAGGACAGCCCTTCATTCCGATATTATTTTGCGAACAAATCACTTTAAATTACATGCTCAAAATCATTTATTTGGGCCTGGCAGCGCCTAGTAATACCAGCTATAATATGAAATAATTTAAATCAATTTCTTACTTTGCTTTTTAGCACCATGAAAAATAACTTAGAAAATGCAAACCAGAGCGAGCTGTCAAATCAAGAGCAACAATTGATGATGAACCGTAATAAACGGAAACGGCCACGATGCAATTCACTTCCGGTCAGAATATCAGCCCCACCGAAGCTGCAACCAGTTGAAACTGTTGTAAGGTATGTGTTATATTTTATTAATTGAAATTTAATGTTTGAGGTTCGATCAACCTGTATTTAGCATAGGAGCATTTAATAACCATACAAAATTGTTAAGCACACAAACACAGTTCACACAAACCCAGCGCGTGTACTGTTTAGCCAAGTTCACTGAACCAATGCTCAGCTGCAGTTTAAAATTAAAAAAAAAAACGTATGCTCGCACATTCATACTTTAGGCTATTTACTATTTCTAATCTTTATAGCTCTCACTGGCTCGAGCGTCGCTATAAATAAGCTATGACCTTTTTGTTCGTACATCTGTTGTAGAAATACATACATCCATATGAAACAGAATGTGTTGTGCCTGCGCAGTTTTGACTGAGCTACAACTCAGTGGGTCAGTCTCCTATTTATGGTCTTCAGAATTTATATGTAAAAAATAATTAATTGAAAACTGTATTCTGTATTCTTGACAAGTAACTACTTTATCATGCATGTAGCTGCCATTGGGATAATCGGTAGAAAATTGAATCTAGTATTAAGGCTTACATTTAAACAATTTTCAGCGTATTGCTAAACAATCCTTTTACGTAACCAAATGCTTAATTGTCAGGAAAATGGTTTATTGAATTTGAAATTTACAACCTTTCTGGTTTTGGAACCTTTTAACATATCGCATAACACACAGTGGTAAAAGGCTTTTGAATTTTCTGTTAAAACGCGCGTAACCATTATGAGTTTAGCAGTCCCAATTTGAGTATGATTGTTGATTGTTGTTGTTCAAAATGTATCGGATTTCGATAACTTATGGTTTACGTTTGTTGTTGAAATGTAGTCGAATAATAGGCAACGCGTCGGATGAACGTCAACCTAAAAGTAAAATTACATTAAAATTAATGTGAATACGGCAAATAATATGGTGCTTTTGACTTAATATGGATAAGTACGTTTTATTACAAATAACAACACTGAAGATTTGCTGGCCGAATCAGTATTAATTAAACTTATTTAAATGAAGTGCAGTCTCGCCGGTAAACTAAATAAATTAATGTGCCTCATCATATATTTGTGTTTATGTACATATGTATGTACATATTTGTCTGCTTTTTGTTACTTGTGCTTTCGGGTTTTTTACATGCGTGTAACAGACAAACCGTGAAGCGCAATTAAATGAAATTTACACAAACCTTTTGTTGAAAATCAATAATATCAACACACCACATTTTATTAAAAGCTGCTGTAACAACATTAAAAATGTCTACAACAATAAATGTGCCACAGACGGCATCACCCAGAGAATTTCTCGTGTGCATTTTGGGCGTGGAGGACATGAAAAAAACGAGAGCAATAACTAATGCATCTGTCTTAAGCGGTAGCAGTTGTGCAAATGAGTATGTTAGTGTGTCTATCGAAAATGCGCTGGCAACAGTCCAATTAAACCCTAAGAATGCAGAACAAGCATTAGAAGAACGCCAACTGGTGCCCGTTCCCATTAGAAGTGATCTAATCGATTCTGATTCTGATTTCACAGCATCAAAGTGTCCAAATAATAATGCATCATCGCAGATGTAAGTTGGTAGATAAACCTTACAGTTTGAATATAAGTGGATATATTTCAGTATTAACAGCCGAGTCGACATATCCTATGTCTGCATTTTTATTTTTATGTAAACTAGTCCCTCAGTTATTATTTTGAAAAACTGCATAGGTCCGTCTGTTGTTGCAAACAGTACATGTGTTGCAACCAGCCAGATTGGACTACTATATCATATATGTAGCTGTCATCGGTCGGAAATAAGGTTCTTGAAGAAAAACCTTTATTTTTTTAAGTTATCCTGACCACATCCATAATACATATACACTTTCCCAACCTTGCCCCTGTCATCTTTAAAAATTATTTTAAAGCCGATTATATGGAAAATAAAAACTTATTTACCGCAGTTTCACAATTTTTCCTAACTTGCGGTAGACATTTCCTATAGCCTCCTAATCAGGCTGCTTCCGACAAAAGTACTGCCTGCAGCTAAAATTCGGAACTATGCAAAGTTTAATGAGACTAGCTTTAAAGTCTGCATATTGGGTTGAATAGAACCAATCAGACGGACATATCTGTAGTGACTTGGTTGTTGATACTGTTTAAGATGATAGATACATTGTGATACGTTGCACATTTTATGATCAGATGATACTTTCCCAATAGTTTATAAGTTAGATAACTGCTATTGAATATATTAATATTCTGGAAAAACAAAAAATACCCCAAAAATTGTATGTGCTGCTATAAAATTCACAGTGAGCAACAGCAAAAAACATTATCTCCATCTACGAAGAAATATTTTTTAATTGAAAACCATATTCGGTTCTAACAAGAAGCCCTGAATCGTCCTCGTTTCTTTGCGGTACACCTGCTTTTTGTTATACCTGTTGATGTTGTTAGTTGCATGCCCAAAAAAAAAACGTAAATCGTAGACACTGACAAATTCAGATACTTAAATAATTTAAATTATACGTTTGTACGTATAAATATTATGTAATTAATCAGTTTTTAATGCGATTTTTTTTGCTTATGGAAAAAATATTACCATTCCGCGTACAAAGAAATCTAAAAAGAAAACACCTCTGAAAACTCGAATTCAGAATGCTACAACCAGACATTTTATTTCATCATATACGTTATGTTTTATATTTTCGTCAGTCTACGTAAGTTGATTGTTTTGACAGCTCATGTTAAAAAATTACGCGTACAATTTCTGTAGAATGTGTTACCTGCAATACACAATATGATATTTTGCGTGAGTTATGAAAACTATTGCGTTATCACCAAATAATTGCTTTTGCTAGGTGTGTGATAAAACTGGTTTCACTTTTATTCTCCAGCTTGGCCTATAGGCAATTTCATCGCAACAGTCACTGAACTCATCGAAAATGGATAAAAAGGGATTAATGGCTTATGCAAATATTTGTAACAGACCATAAAATATATATTCTTGGCCAGCATAAATATTCGAGTCAATCCTAGCCCTGTCTGTCCGTTTGTATGAACGTATCAATCTCAGAACTAAAGATCAAGAGACTTAAAATATTGAACCTAAGGCCTCCTAGTGAGAGCGCAGTACTTTTTTCTGATCACCGACAATATGTTCCGTTGCAAAGCAATTCATAAAGATTCGACGTCGTACATAGCACCATTTGGACAGACAGACGGACATATAAAATACATACACCTTTAGAGGTAAGACCATTATACCCCTCGTACACATTTTCAATGGGTTCAGGGTATAAAATCTCTAATTTTATTGCAGAACAAAGTACCGCAAAAAATTTCAACATGATCTGTAAAGTAACACAGAAGTTATTAAGGAAAACCTTTGGTTACAACATTGCTAGCGTAAAGTGAGAGAATTTCTGCATACATGTGCACACATGCATACACACAATTGCAATTGCGATTGTATTGTATGCTGTCCTGTGTGTGTGTATGCTGCTATTTAACATACTTTTGTTTAATTCGTTTATAATAATACTAATATTTTCTTTTACACATTAATTATGTAAAAGTGTTAGTGAAAGAAGATTCAGGGTATCCCCTAGTCAGACACTCCCGACAAGACCACTCTCATTGGTTTGTTTTGTGTATGTAATTCGAGTAAATCATAGTTATAACAACGGCAAGTTCAACGCGCTGATTAGTTTTTCATAATTTTCTTGTTTGTATATATATTTCACGGAAATGAATTTATTTGCAACTGAAGAAAGAAAGAAAGGGGAGAAAATTAACACAAGATATCATCCAAGCAATTTCTTTGTCTTTTGATGTTTTCATGTGTTCCAAGTGCGTTGCGTGCCCTGGCCCTCTGCATGGTTTGCTGTTTGAGGGATTGCATGCACAAATTTTTAAATTATGAATTCGTGAATTGCTTTACCGAAATGTTCACCATTATCATTGTGGTGTGTATTATCTTTGTGTTCTCATATGTTACAGATTCTTGCTATGGCTATGACCAAAATTTACCACCTCGATTCCACCGACTCGGAAACAACCAAATGCGTAATACTGCGCTTCCGCAATTCTGCAAAAGTCAACGAAAACGTTATATAATTTTTTTTGTTACCATCCGATCGGCTTTAAACTTGATAATTTTTTAGATTTTTAACCTGGATAAATATGTGTCAGTGATTGTAGGGGCAGCAGTTCAACTTTTCGTACGCCCGCTTGAAGAGTATTTTTAAAACAATACAGAAAATTTTCATGAATACGTGCTTAAACGATTTGGCAAAATCTATCATTGCCAAAAAATGTGTGGAAAACTGATGTTCTAGTTTGCCTTTCTTTTAACATCTACAAACCAAATGAGCACAATAGTGCATTAGTCAAGAGTAGTCAGTAATCCAGTTCCCAGCCCAAACATATATAACAACTTTATTTAATACATACATAAATACAGAGAGCTCATTAAATTTGTATAAAATTTCATCTTAAAATTCTGATGGGCGCGGACGGACATTTACGGCCCCCTCCCCATTACCCCCAAAATTAAAAACAAAAATTCATGAAGATCGGAAAACAAACAGGAGTTATTCAACAATTAATTTCCATCTCTGTAACGAGGGGGGAAGAAGCCGCTCTGTTGCTACGTGTGTTCCACAGTTTGCCGCAGATTTGTTTGTGCGTTGTGCATAAATGCTTCTTTAAGTATATACATAAGCAGTATTTGGCTATAATTTATGATTTGAAAAATTCAAAGCTGGGTGCTGAAAACAAAAATATTATAATCACTCAGGGATACTGAGGATTTTAAGTGACTCGAAAATTTTAGCTGACAATAGTGTTTTTTCTATAGCTAAATTGAAGAGATCTCGGGCTCTTTGTATTGGAAACTATTCCTAAGTTGTGTATCTCAAAAGGTTAGGGTGTATCTCTGAAAAAGCGGTCTTTTTTTCAGGAGCTCGTAGAACAGGTGGCATTAAGCTAGAGGCACCAATGTATTTGATTATTATTATTAAAGTCCCCAAAATACGCCGGAAATTGTTTCTCGGCGCTTGATTCTACTTTATGTCGTCTCTTACGTTACACATTTCGTGAAAAAAATTGCATTTTCCTCAGAAAACTGAAATGAAATAAATAGCGAAAATAAATATTTTAAAGAGTAGAGCAAATGGTGGGTAAGACATTACATTTTTCTCTGGTTGAACGTCCTTCAAAGCATTAACAAAACCAGCCAAATGAGGACAGATAAACTGAAACTTCCAGTTCTCCTTTGGGCAAAAAACCATAGGTATTGCTGCCACACGCATTTTTAAGGTAGCTGGCCAAGAGAAAACATAAATACCTAACTCTACGGCAACAGACACCACCACAAACTGGTTTTGTAGCATGCCAGCACCGGCAGATGTTTCGTTACTTAACAAAAACTGCGTTAAGTTTCCGTTTGTGATCCTTTTTGAGTTTTTCCTGTCTGCAGTTGGTTGAAATTTCGAGTGAGTGCCGCAGCTGCGTTTCCTTAGGTAGTACCTAAAACAATCTCGCAACAGCTGTTTCCGTAAGGCTTTCTATTCAGACATATCTGGCAAACAAGTGTTCTCATTAAAAGAATTGGTTATATACTTTTAAGAAGTTATATTTGAAAGGACATTAAAGCCAACATTTTAAATCATTTAACTAAACATGTTGCATGGTAGACTTCAGTTTATCGTTCATAAACTATAATTTAAAAACGCTAAAAACACTCAATTCACATCCGTATGCATTGCAGGTGAGAATGTACGAGAGGCTAGTGGCTTGTATACTCTATTGATCAACAATTTAATCTCAAAAACCTTTAAAAAAAACTCACTCAAATCACACCCTCCGCAGAGTCCTGCTTTCAAAGTGCGGGCAAGAGCTCAACTGAAAATTCTACAAAGCAGGAGGGTTGTTTTTGGGATTGTTACTGCGTCGGCTGGAATTCTTTGTTGATCAGTCTGCTTATGTACAACATCGTAAGCACTATTCGCTTCTCGGTACGGAGTACGGAGTGTATCAACTAAATATGTTCAATACAAATTTGCGTTTAAAAACTCGAAATTTTATTAAATACTTTTGGCCTTTTAAACTTTGAATGCATATAAACTTGCAACCATCAAATTTTTACGTTCAAAACTGTGTTAATAAAGTAAATATGAAAGCCCAAGAAAACGCGCACAAAACGGACATAAAAATGGAAATTATAGAACCGAAAACATTTTCCCTGCAAACTGCATTTACCAATCGGTTGATGAGCGGAAAGTGCAGACGTTTTAATACGCGTATTTTAAATAGGTAAACAAACTATCGGGAATTATAAAAAGTATATAACGGAAATGAAACCGAAACAAACCAGCAAAAAGTATTATCTACACTTACATTATGAAAATAGCACAATTATGTAGTAAAGGGACATTTAAAAAGCACTGCTGGATAATAATCCTGCATCCTGAATGGAGAAATGATTCATATACTCATTTTCATATTTAATTCGTTGTAAATTTGTAAATTCGCGTATATCATACGCTATCGTATTTTTTGCTTTTGGAATAGCAGCCCCATTCAAAATTTAAAGTACAGCCTTGCTCTCTGATATATACGTGTGTATATTCGGATGCTATAATTACTGTGGGACCGAGAGAAGAATCACAGCTGCCGTTCGACATGTATGCTTGTGTGTATTTTTATATACATCCGTTACATACGGATACAACAAGGCGTTCAAATGTTTCCTACGACATCTGTGTCGACTGTGTCCTAGTCGGTTACTCTCGCCTAAATGATTCTTATTTTTATGCTTATACTAATACTGCTAGCATTCATTTGCTAGGAACACATTTGTAGTTTCGAAATTAAAGCGAAGAAAATCGAAATAAAGGAAAACCCGCAAAGCAAAGTATACTTGTGTTATCATCTGTTCTATGTGCTGGCGCGTTCTTTACATTTCTAATACTTATAAATATGCTAATCCAGTTGTTTCCGCAATTCATCTTCCTGGAATTTTAAGTGATTGATTAAAATGAGCATAGGCATGTAGGTTTTTTCTAAATGCTCTTTGCATTGAAATTTCAATCCTAACTGCTAAGCTGACCGCTTCAAACACACTCGGTTTTTCTTTTCGTCATTTATCCAAAACACAGACTACCTGTAATGACAACACCTTTCTATGTCGCATTTTCTAACACAAACTCTATTTGTTAGACTTGATATCTGAGCAACTTAACAGGAGTATAGTAACAGGCGTTTGTTCTGTTGTTTCAACTTTAAAGGTCCTGAAATGTTGTGAACTTACAAATTTGTATAGCAAATTAATCACATAATTTCAGGTAGTCTTCTGGGATTATGCTATTGACATCGATATGCAAAATTAGCTTGATAGAAGTAAGCAACTAGCTAGCGTATTAATTGCTCACAGATATTGTTATTCGTTAAGATAATTTATGAATTTCACTAATGAATTATTATTTGTACAGATTGCCAAAAAGTGGAAAGGATAATGTCAGCATAATTGGTATACGCTGTAGCGGAAACGGCGAGTGTTTGGTAAGTATTTAGCATACATATTGTCTCGTTAAATATAACTAAAGCCCTTTTTAATATGTTCGCCTATTCACCTTATTTTTAAAGAAAACTAGCTCACACGGTTCATAGACTTACTTAAACTGAAAGGCTTTGAGTGGAAAAAGATTAATCCAAGTTATTAATTGGTTATTTATTACCCAAATACAAAAGGAACATAAATTCCATCACACAATATTAATTTCAGCAACCATATAAAAAGCTGCATTTGTTGTTTGACCTTATTGTTTCTACGTTTATCATATACTTTCTATAGGTCCTTTTTTTTTTTTTAAATATGCATTGTATAGTCTCAATTTAATTAGTTAACCATAGTGAACGAGTGTCGCATATTGAGTGGCAATGAAGTCGTTTAAGGCCAGCTGTGCTGTTAATCTAATGGTGCTAATATGCGGCTGCTGTACTATAATCCACTCCGACAATAACATATCCATTCATGTTTGTTTTCTAATGCCAAACGCAGACCAAGCTTATTTGCCGCTGTACTGCAAATTTAAATAAAACGAATTTCTACCAAGTGCTCCACTCCTCGATTCTCATGAATTCAAATAGTCTCTGCAGCTTTCATGCTTAGCTGTGTGAAGTGCTTTTTTTCTCCCTTTTTTTATTAGATGTATATTTATTTGTATATACATATATATACGCATGTATGTATGCATGCATGTGCATATGTCTGTTTGTACATGTGTATGTAAATATGTTTGTGCATGTGTATGTATGTATGTGTGAATGTATGCTGGCATTTATGTGTGTGTGCGTATGTGTGTATGCAGATATTCGTGTGTGTGTGTGTGTGTGTGTATATATATATATGTACATATACATATATGTGTATGTCTGTATGTACATACATATGTATGTATTTATAGATGTACATATGTATGTATGTATGCATGTTTGCACATATACAAACAAACAAGCATACACATATGCAAAAATGCATACAAACATACATGCATGTATATATATGTATGTATGTATGTGTGCGTGCTTGTATGTAGCCATCCGGACATGTATTCATACATGTACGCATGCATGCCTATTTACATTTATACAAAACAAGCATGCATAAACGTATGTACAAACAGGCATACATATATATGCAAACTTAAAAATTCTTCAAAAAATCTTTGAATCGCATTTCTACAGAGGAAGCTTGATTAGCTTGATATAGAGATTACGTTTTTATTTTACAGGTAGCTCGGCAACAATTTCCAGTTATATGTATCAATATGAATACTTTTTGACCAGATTCCAAAAGTATATATTGTACATCTGTCGAGGAAGCGATATCAAAAGCAAGGGCAGAATACTACTGTTTATCTTGCTTATAGTTTCAAGTATTTACTGTTTCTAATTACTTTTAAAATGTTGTGCATGTATGCAATTATGTCAGGTACGAGCTGTATTAGATCCGGTTGAGATATAAAATGTTTATTTTTAAAACCATCCTACTATTGGTAGCTCAAATGTGTACAACAGACAATAAACCAATTCTACCCCAACTGGTATATACATAGGTTCATGATCAGCCATAGGCCGAGTCGATCAAGTGTGTATAGGTCGATGTCTGTATGAATATGTCGATCTTCTACACTTTGAAATTGTTGTAAAAGTTCTCATTGTTGCCGGAAAACGGTTGTATGAAAGTTTTTGTTTATCTGATCGGCTTCAAAATCCCTTTCAAAGACCTTTGTGAAACTTAATTCAAGACGTGCACCACACACCGACTAGAATTTGAGTAACATTTAATTTGTTTGCATTGTTACCCCTGCATACACGGCGGAAAGCGGTCGTATTAATATATTGTTGCTCCTGCATACATATACCCACACATACATTTAAAGGATCGTTAGACATTGTTAAGAGAGCACTGAGAGTAAGTTTCCTATAGTATCCATTATTGAGAAAAATATTGACTCAGAGGTCAAAATTAATCAAGCAAAACAAATCTATCGATAAAGCAGTAGCAAGATATGTAAACACGTGATGCCATGACCCAAAGGTAATCAGGCTTGCCTACCTGGAGTCTGAAGGTTGTTATGTGAACGCTATTGACAATAATTGCATGTAGTTGTTGGCTCGTGGTCTTCAATGATATTTCTGTACTAATCTAATAAAGACACTTGACACTTCTGCCTAAAGTTGCGGATACTCGAACCTTTAACTCTGAATGCCTAGTGCAGACAATAACCAATAATGCAACACAATGAGCAACATTCGCAGCGAGCCCCACCTTCTTGCCCATTGCTTATCAAAGCGACACCCTCACAATCATCACACACTATCCACAACAAAAAGGGCACTAACACAAACACGCATAAGCACTTGCCGTTGAAATCAACAACGACATTGTGGCCGCCGCCGTAGCGTCGCATTTGCAATTCTCGCAGTCAGTTTATATTTATCGCGTCCACCATTGACACCTGCGAGCGGCAGCGACTTTTGCAAGTGTGTGTCTAATCACATTCTGATAAAGAGTGTCGTGAGCGCCATGAAGAAGCTGATAATACCCACACTTATGGATACCTATGGTTTAATTAAGTTTTGGGAATTTGATGACGCCATCCCGGATAGACCCTCGCTGTCCGGCAGCAGCAATACGCGAAGTAAATTTTGCCTTCCACAAAGTGATTCAATGCACAGTGAACGACGCTACAAGAGGCGCGCCCGACTGCTAAAGGTAACATCTCTGACTAAAATTATAATCAATTAGACGTCAGGTTATTCAATTTTTCTATTTGTTTCTCAAATTTCTACAAATATTGAAGTAATTCTGATTAGGTGTGTTGTTTTGTGCTTATGAAATGGAAATTCTAATTATTGCACACAAAATTTTTCCAAAAACCAACCTAGTTTTGTTGTACATTTAATTATCAATTTTATGAACAAAAATATTCGACAAAATCGAATCCGCGATAACAAATTAATGCTTACCCACCCGCTTGAAATACAAAGGACAAACAATAAACAAAAAACTATTTGACCTTAACTGTGTCAGTTCTGCTAATGTTTGCTTTCTTTTAACCATGAATTTAACGGTGGGCATTTTTACGTAACTAATTGTATATACAGATAATAGTTGTTGTATTCACTTTGTAACATACAGCACTCGATCGCTTAAAATTCTTGGATTAATCACATACCACACCTTTGCACTTTATAATAGTCAGTTAGTAATTTAGTAGTAATTATTATCATATCGTGAACCCATAGAAAATGAATAAAAAGGGTACAATGGTTTTGTTTTAACGCATGCGTTGGTATGTAGACTCTCGTATAGTACGCACCTGTTGCCACAAAATTGGAAAAGTTTATTTTCAAATGTAAATTCTTTGGCTTCGGTATTTAAACATGTTTGAATGCCAACCATTTTTATGAAGATTGGACAATAAACAGTGGAGTCAATCACGAAAGAACTTCCCATATTTTGGGAATAAAAGAAGTAGCGCAGTTGCAACAAGCGACGCGTGTGTATGAATGTGTAGATGGAAGCTAAAATACGTGTGGGGGCCGTTCGGGGTGGGGTTCAGAGAATCTCCTAGTCGGCCACTTGCAGCTAAAGCAACGTTACCTGTTATTGTAACAAATAAAATTTGACATGATAATATACTTGTGGTTTCATGTAACAGAGAACCGACTGAGGGCAGATGTGGGCCCTATGTGAACAATAAAAATTAGTAGCCGGAAATACATTGATCCTAAATCAGTTTTATCCTCTAATATATTTCTCTTTTCAGTCCCAACAGATGCGTGCCATTTCGAGTCCAGCGCTTACAGGCTCCGTAATATCGCCAAAGTACCTCCAGGATGAATTTGCGGAAGCTCGTGAGCTAACAAAGGATGCGGCTGCTACAACTGAAGCCAGTTTCGACTGCGGTATAGTTGAAGGGAACCAGACTAGTCTGGGCGTCTTACAGAAATTTAAACGCACATTGCATAACTTGAATAATAGAAATCAATTGCAAATTACGCCCTTGCACACAGGGGCAGTCGTTAACGCGGACACAAAGCCAATGCCTATAAATCCGATGGTCTCCATTACAGTACCTGCGCCAGTTGTAGACAATAAGATTGACCCAACAGACAACTGTGGCGTAGATACAAGCTCCGCCAAATACCGCTTTGGTCCGTTAATTTGGCGCTCATCAAAGGAACGTCGTAAGACAAAATTTAATCGCCGCGACAAGTGCAATTCTGGTGACTCCGGTATCCAAATCGAATTAGAATTGGATGAACAGTATATGCGCACACTGGCGAGCGGGCAGCCACGAGCAGCCAGTGCCCTGACAAACCCGTCAAGTGCCATGGACCGAAAGGCACGTACCATACGCCGTTGTCACTCTGCCAAAGCAAGCACCATAATGGAGCAAGCCGCTGTACAACCCCCGGTCAACAATCAGCTTAATAAAGGCAGCATTTGCAACATAGAACGCGAAGCCCCCGAGTCTTTACCTACGCGCTCCCTCAGTCAACCCAGTGGCTTAGAAATATATGGGAAATGCAGAACCGATATTGAGGACAGCGATAGTGACAGCATCGCGTCACATGAGGAAGGTACGTTTCTTTATATAAAACAGTTTGTCCTGACTAATTGACTGACCGATTGATTGGTTATCAACACACAGCGCTAACCTTAAGCAAGTACATATGTTGAAGGTTTGTAGTGGACTATCCGATTGGCTTCTAATGCATTATCAAAGATCTATGTGAACATTAACTTAAGATTTGTTTCACATTTTTGCAATATCCACCCCTCTTGTATGAAATGCGCGAGTCAAAGGATGCTTGAAATCTTCAAACTCTCACCATGGGACTAAACTGGGTTTAACTTGATAGACTTCAGACTCATTTACAAATATCCATTTAAAATATTACTTAAGAGTGCAACTAATATCCATTTTAAATATGACTTAAGGGTGCAACATACTACGGCAGATTAACTCAATCAGAAGAAAATAGCTTTTAAATATTTGAGGACTTGTTTCAAGTTCCATTTAACAAAACGGGCTTTTAAAACGGGCTTTCAAATATTGAATACCTAAAGTAAATTAAGACGCATACAGTCCACCGTAAATACATATATGATCATCAATTCAACCATCTAGCTGTCATGGTCAATCAGTCAATTTGTCTGACTTACTTGGAGTGTACGCAATTGCCTAGGAATTACCGTTGAGACATGAGTTTTTTAACGCATATCACCTTACCCTACAGCAAACAACTTCTGTCCCATTTATGCGGAAGTGCTCTACAACTTCACCGCGGCTGGTCCGCAAGAGCTGGGTCTGGAGCGGGGTACTTTAATCGAGATATTGCGGAAGGAAGTAGGCCCTTGGTGGTTTGGACGTATTAAAAAGGAGGATGTTAGTCTTGTAGAAGAAATTCATGATCCTGAAATTGGCTGGTTTCCCAAAGAATTTGTGCGCATAATTCATAGTTGTGAAATAAATGCTTTGCTGAATGTGCAAAAGACGATGAAAGATGATGTATCTGTTCCTGCAGCCGTTGCAGACATCCAAATCCCAGTGCCCGTTAGTGAACTAAACACCGGCGATAACAGTGCCAATGCCATGACTTTGGATCAGAGTAACATCACAACCATAGTCATTGAATCACCCTCATCAACTGTCCTCACGCTACCACCGCGCATTAATGAGCAACAGGACAGTTACGATATAATACGGTACGGTGCTGTGCGTGAGCTCCTCGAAACTGAAATTAATTACGTAAAGCTTCTGGCTTCGATTTGCGATGGGTAAGTAAATAATGCAATCGTCAAGAACTACGACAAAAAACAATTCATCTTCATTATTTTAGGTATTTGCCTGCCATGAGCAAACGCATCGATATATTTTCTCCCAACAGCATACGACTTATATTTTCCAATATAACAGCCATTTACAAGTTTCAGCGAAAGTTTTTGGAAGCGCTGCGCAACGGCATTGAACAGAACCAAGTATCTAAGGTATTTCTAAAAATGGTGAGTCTATTACCTATATTTATACGCGCCACTGATTATTATGCACAGCTAGATTTATGAATTTGTTTGTTCCGAAAATGTGTGACATATACATATACTCCATATTACGGTTACTGAAAAATAGCTTTCATATAATCAAAAGATTACAGTATACTTTAGCAAGCTTTTCAACGTTTTTATATGTAATGTGGCTTACAAATGGCTAAAAATTAAAAAAATTGTTACTGGCAAATAGTTTTTAGTAAGCACTTCAAAAGCTTCATGGTTTCCGTAAGCATATTCATTAAAAACCCTGAACGCCTACAAAAGATTTGAATTTGTGTCTAATAATACTTTATATATATACTTAATTTTCATGTATAGCATAAAGGATTCCTCTGCTACTCTACATACTGTAATGCTTATCCACGTGCACTTATCGAACTCGAATCCTACGAACGCATCAAAGACGCACGCACCATTTTAGAGAAGTATGTTTTTATAATTTTCAGTTCTTGTTTATTTGACACTTAACCTGTTATTCATTTTTTAACTATTTCTTAAAAGCTGCCGTGAATCCGAGAACTTGGCTGAACTACCCCTATCTGCGCATCTCCTGGCGCCAGTGCAACGCATTTGCCGTTATCCACTGCATCTTAACGAACTTATTAAGACTGCTTTTAGCAGTAACCTCGCTGAAGATACAAATGAGGTTGCTGTCCAAACGGATATCTTAGACTATGAACAGATCGATCTATCTCAGTGTGATGTTCCTGATACGCACGACACCGTTAATTTGGCGCTGAAAAAGATGCGCGGCATCACAGAGGCTGTAAACGAGGGAAAACGCCACAGTGAGACCATTGCACGGCATCAGTCAAGCTTTCAAAACTTTAAAGGACCACCGCTACACCTGCACAGTACACGTTTTTTCATTCAAGTAGACGCCACGCGCCAAAAGCAGAACCTGTGGAATAGCAGCTGCACACTGTTCCTTTTCGATAACCAACTGATTTACTGCAAACGAGATATTATCAAGCGCAGCCAGTTCATCTACAAGGGACGAATCTTTTTGGATCGTTGTCGCATCGTTAACGTACGGGATGGAAAAATGTTTGGTCATACAATTAAAAATTCACTACGAATCTACTGCGAATCGCGGGACAAGTGGTACGACTTTAGCTTCCGCTCGGCTAACCGTAAACATCGCTTTCTTAATACGCTTGCCTTAGAGCGACAGTTTGGGGGCAAGGCACTATACGTGTCCGAGATGACTGGGTTTGAGTACAACTATGAGGAACGCCCGGGTTACTATTCTGACCAATCGGAATACGAGTTGCCAGAATGCGAGCCTGCACAGGGCAACACGTCGGCAAGTGGCGACAGTTCAGTACCCGAATCACCGGCTAAGTCACCCTACCGATCTTGCGATACTTTGCCCAAAAAATCCCAGTCGCGCGACGCTATTGCCAGTACTAGTAATGGCTCTGGACATATGTCAACTGGGTCGCTAGGCCGTCGGCGTCTAGGAAACTGGTTCCGGAAGCCAAAGAGTTCCAACTGTACGCCTAGTCAGTCACCTACGCACAAACCGAACTTCGATGCAGATTTAACGTTAACGGCCGCACGTGTTGCTGCAATTGAAATGGTTAGAGCCTCTGCCGCGCAACAAGAGGCAGACAGCTCGTTTGCTTAGTTATCCTATTATTTCATAATTATTTATCATTTTGAAGAATACAAATCACAACATTCAATAATTGAAAAGCAACCTATTTGCTATAAAAGAATGTTGATAAAAATACTGACACAGAAGTGTATATTTTAACAATAAAATATTTTAGGTTAGTTCCTATTTTTATTTGAATGTCTTAAATCGCCTGATGCCTAATTTTTTCTATACTGAATTAATGTTTAGAATGAAATGGTCAGTTTTCTGTATAAAATGTACAAAATAATAAATGTTTGTTTTTAATTGCTTTCTCTTTTTATTAAACGAATCAAGTATAATTTTACTATCTGGGTAATATTGATACACTCGCAAAACATTTAATTAATATTCTGTCCTGCTTAACGTGCATGTGCGCAAAATTAAGAACACAGCTACAAAAAACCCTTTCTATACTGAACAAAATAATAACCATATGTATATTATCAGAATATAAACTATATGTTAAATAGTCACAGGTTATATAAAATCTTGCAGAAATGAGTTAAAAAGTAGTCATATTATTGAGCAAATGAATTGTTACTTGTAATTTTTATTCAAAAAAAAAATAAAAATAATAATTAAAAAGAGAACTGTTAAAATGAAAATTGTGCAAGCCAAAAAATATTTCAAAACCTACGAGCGAATTTAATTTTCTTAAGAAAAACGTATATACCAAAATAAGTTCAAATATAAGATAACATTGAGTTGAACGTTTTAAAAGCAATTTACTATTTAATAGATTTTGTATAAACAAACAAATGAACAAAAAAAAAACATAATTCCTTACAATGTTAATTCTGGACCATCCCATCAAGTGTATTTGGCTAACAGATAATTAAGCGATGTTTTTTAATCCAGGCTCGAATCAACTTAATAATAGGCAAACATCGGGGATGGAATTAGAAGTAAAATAAAGTAATAATTTAAACGAAACTCTATAATTTAAATAATGTTTTGTCTAGTTAGCAGATTTAGTCTCGGAGCCCGCAGCAGACTGCACTGATTGGGGTTGTTGCTGGTGAATAAGCTGCTGTGGCTTTGGTGGTCGTTGTGGTTGACGGCTGGAAAGAATCTGCGGGACTTCCTGCATGTTAAGTATATTGTTAACACGGTCAATGCTCAATGGCTCTTTACTTTTGAAGGCATTTTTTAACGCCTGGCATCCTCGGTAGCTGTATGCATGGTGGCTCTTGTAGTTTGCGCGTTTTACGGTGCACTTGACAGACACAAAAAGCCGGCGTCGGTAATTTTTTGTTTTCCCGAATTGCTGACATCTGTGGCACTGGGCTACGTCTGCTGAGCGTAACGGGCGCTGTTATATTTTGGAGTTTTATACTATTTTAAACTCGTACGGATCAATACTATCGATTGGCATTAAAAAAATCATATTCGAAATTTTTGAAATGTCAATTGAAAGTAGGTATCCGTATGAATTAAAAAAGGTATAATATTTCAAAATCTGACAGTATTTACCCAAGATATTAAAAAAAAAAACATCAAGAAAGTTTTGCTTTTCGAACCGACCCCGAATTTTGAGAAAAAACGTGATGACCCTTGCCATTTTGATGATTTTGGTCAAAAATTAGATTTTTATTTTTTTGATGCCAATCGATAGTACTGATCCTTACGAGTATAAAATGGTATAAAATTCTCAAATCGGACATTATTTGCCCGAGATATTCCAAAAAAACATCAAAAAAGGTTGACTTTACAAACAAATCGGTTATTGGTCAACCACTTTCTTTAACCAATCGATTTTGAGAGAACGAATCGGTTTTTGGTCAATCACGTTTTTTCTCAAATTCGGGGTCGGTTCGAAAATCGAAATATCTCGGGTAAATGCTGTCCGATTTGAAATGTTATACCTTTTTGAATTCGTAGGGATCCCTACTATCAATCTGCATTCAAACATTTTAAAAATCGATGGGTTAAAAAAAGTGGTTGACCAAAAACCGATTCGTTTGTAAAGTCAACCTTTTTTGATGATTTTTTTGAATATCTCGGCCAAACAGTGTTTGATTTGGGAATTTTATACCATTTTCGACTCGTAAGGATCAGTACTATCGATTGGCATCAAAAAAATAAAAATCTAATTTTTGACCAAAATCATCAAAATGGCAAGGGGTTACATCACGTTTTTTCTCAAATTCGGGGTCGGTTAGAAAATCGAAACTTTTTTGATGATTTTTATTGAATATCTCGGGTATTTGCTGTCCGATTTTGAAATGTTATACCTTTTTGAATTCGTAGGGATCCCTACTATCAATGTGCATTCAAACATTTAAAAAATCGATGGGTTAAAAAAGTGGTTGACCAAAAACCGATTCGTTTGTTAAGTCAACCTTTTTTGAAGATTTTTTTGAATATCTTGGCCAAATAGTGTTCGATTTGGGAATTTTATACCATTTTCGACTCGTAAGGATCAGTACTATCGATTGGCATCAAAAAAATAAAAATCTAATTTTTGACCAAAATCATCAAAATGGCAAGGGGTTACATCACGTTTTTTCTCAAATTCGGGGTCGGTTTGAAAATCGGAACTTTTTTGATGATTTTTATTGAACATTTTGAAATGTTACACCTTTTTGAATTCGTAGGGATCCCTACTATCAATCTGCATTCAAACATTTAAAAAATCGATGGGTTAAAAAAAGTGGTTGACCAAAAACCGATTCGTTTGTAAAGTCAACCTTTTTTGATGATTTTTTTGAATATCTCGGCCAAATAGTGTTCGATTTGGGAATTTTATACCATTTTCGACTCGTAAGGATCAGTACTATCGATTGGCATCAAAAAAATAAAAATCTAATTTTTGACCAAAATCATCAAAATGGCAAGGGGTTACATCACGTTTTTTCTCAAATTCGGGGTCGGTTCGAAAATCGGAACTTATTTGATGATTTTTATTGAATATCTCGGGTAAATGCTGTCCGATTTTGAAATGTTATACCTTTTTGAATTCGTAGGGATCCCTATGGGTTGGGTTAAAAAAAGTGGTTGACCAAAAACCGATTCGTTTGTAAAGTCAACCTTTTTTGATGATTTTTTTGAATATCTCGGCCAAACAGTGTTTGATTTGGGAATTTTATACCATTTTCGACTCGTAAGGATCAGTACTATCGATTGGCATCAAAAAAATAAAAATCTAATTTTTGACCAAAATCATCAAAGTGGCAAGGGGTTACATCACGTTTTTTCTCAAATTCGGGGTCGGTTCGAAAATCGGAACTTATTTGATGATTTTTATTGAATATCTCGGGTAAATGCTGTCCGATTTTGAAATGTTATACCTTTTTGAATTCGTAGGGATCCCTACTATCAATCTGCATTCAAACATTTTAAAAATCGATGGGTTAAAAAAAGTGGTTGACCAAAAACCGATTCGTTTGTAAAGTCAACCTTTTTTGATGATTTTTTTGAATATCTCGGCCAAATAGTGTTTGATTTGGGAATTTTATACCATTTTCGACTCGTAAGGATCAGTACTATCGATTGGCATCAAAAAAATAAAAATCTAATTTTTGACCAAAATCATCAAAATGGCAAGGGGTTACATCACGTTTTTTCTCAAATTCGGGGTCGGTTCGAAAATCGGAACTTTTTTGATGATTTTTATTGAATATCTCGGGTAAATGCTGTCCGATTTTGAAATGTTATACCTTTTTGAATTCGTAGGGATCCCTACTATCAATCTGCATTCAAACATTTAAAAAATCGATGGGTTAAAAAAAGTGGTTGACCAAAAACCGATTCGTTTGTAAAGTCAACCTTTTTTGATGATTTTTTTGAATATCTCGGCCAAATAGTGTTCGATTTGGGAATTTTATACCATTTTCGACTCGTAAGGATCAGTACTATCGATTGGCATCAAAAAAATAAAAATCTAATTTTTGACCAAAATCATCAAAATGGCAAGGGGTTACATCACGTTTTTTCTCAAATTCGGGGTCGGTTAGAAAATCGAAACTTTTTTGATGATTTTTATTGAATATCTCGGGTATTTGCTGTCCGATTTTGAAATGTTATACCTTTTTGAATTCGTAGGGATCCCTACTATCAATGTGCATTCAAACATTTAAAAAATCGATGGGTTAAAAAAGTGGTTGACCAAAAACCGATTCGTTTGTTAAGTCAACCTTTTTTGAAGATTTTTTTGAATATCTTGGCCAAATAGTGTTCGATTTGGGAATTTTATACCATTTTCGACTCGTAAGGATCAGTACTATCGATTGGCATCAAAAAAATAAAAATCTAATTTTTGACCAAAATCATCAAAATGGCAAGGGGTTACATCACGTTTTTTCTCAAATTCGGGGTCGGTTTGAAAATCGGAACTTTTTTGATGATTTTTATTGAACATTTTGAAATGTTATACCTTTTTGAATTCGTAGGGATCCCTACTATCAATCTGCATTCAAACATTTAAAAAATCGATGGGTTAAAAAAAGTGGTTGACCAAAAACCGATTCGTTTGTAAAGTCAACCTTTTTTGATGATTTTTTTGAATATCTCGGCCAAATAGTGTTCGATTTGGGAATTTTATACCATTTTCGACTCGTAAGGATCAGTACTATCGATTGGCATCAAAAAAATAAAAATCTAATTTTTGACCAAAATCATCAAAATGGCAAGGGGTTACATCACGTTTTTTCTCAAATTCGGGGTCGGTTCGAAAATCGGAACTTATTTGATGATTTTTATTGAATATCTCGGGTAAATGCTGTCCGATTTTGAAATGTTATACCTTTTTGAATTCGTAGGGATCCCTACTATCAATGTGCATTCAAACATTTAAAAAATCGATGGGTTAAAAAAAGTGGTTGACCAAAAACCGATTCGTTTGTAAAGTCAACCTTTTTTGATGATTTTTTTGAATATCTCGGCCAAACAGTGTTCGATTTGGGAATTTTATACCATTTTCGACTCGTAAGGATCAGTACTATCGATTGGCATCAAAAAAATAAAAATCTAATTTTTGACCAAAATCATCAAAATGGCAAGGGGTTACATCACGTTTTTTCTCAAATTCGGGGTCGGTTCGAAAATCGGAACTTTTTTGATGATTTTTATTGAATATCTCGGGTAAATGCTGTCCGATTTTGAAATGTTATACCTTTTTGAATTCGTAGGGAACCCTACTATCAATCTGCATTCAAACATTTTAAAAATCGATGGTTTAAAAAAAGTGGTTGACCAAAAACCGATTCGTTTGTAAAGTCAACCTTTTTTGATGATTTTTTTGAATATCTCGGCCAAATAGTGTTCGATTTGGGAATTTTATACCATTTTCGACTCGTAAGGATCAGTACTATCGATTGGCATCAAAAAAATAAAAATCTAATTTTTGACCAAAATCATCAAAATGGCAAGGGGTTACATCACGTTTTTTCTCAAATTCGGGGTCGGTTCGAAAATCGGAACTTATTTGATGATTTTTATTGAATATCTCGGGTAAATGCTGTCCGATTTTGAAATGTTATACCTTTTTGAATTCGTAGGGATCCCTACTATCAATGTGCATTCAAACATTTAAAAAATCGATGGGTTAAAAAAAGTGGTTGACCAAAAACCGATTCGTTTGTAAAGTCAACCTTTTTTGATGATTTTTTTGAATATCTCGGCCAAATAGTGTTCGATTTGGGAATTTTATACCATTTTCGACTCGTAAGGATCAGTACTATCGATTGGCATCAAAAAAATAAAAATCTAATTTTTGACCAAAATCATCAAAATGGCAAGGGGTTACATCACATTTTTTCTCAAATTCGGGGTCGGTTCGAAAATCGGAACTTATTTGATGATTTTTATTGAATATCTCGGGTAAATGCTGTCCGATTTTGAAATGTTATACCTTTTTGAATTCGTAGGGATCCCTACTATCAATGTGCATTCAAACATTAAAAAAATCGATGGGTTAAAAAAAGTGGTTGACC